AATCAAATCTTTCTCTTTCTCATACAATATGGAGAAAAATTCTTGGGCCGATCAGTGGGACAAGAATCAATCATCCGGAAAAACGAATGACGGCGGAGACGGCGGCCGTGGCACTTCGGCGAAATATAAAGAGAAAGTGGGGGTTGGATTAGGGAAGACGAAAGCGGCGGCGAGTTCCGGGTTAAAGAAGGTGAAGATAGGAACGTCTTTGGGTCTTAGTTGGGTTAAAGACAAGTACAACAAAACCACCACTAAGAATTGATTCGTATCTTTGTTTTTGGATTTTACATATTTGTCTTCTTCTTCTTTTTGTAAACTAGTATAAAATCTGGTCTTGATTCTTGCTTATTCTTAATGATCTGAGATATTCAAGACTTTTGAAAATAATGATTTGGATTGTTGTGATCTCTTTTATTGTTCCGTGGAAATAGACTGAATTGTTTTGTTTTGTGAATAATTTAGAAATCCTTTTATTTAGTTTAATAAAAAGTTCGAAAACTCAAAGAAAAAAAGAATCTGGATAGTTTGATCTTGTTCGGAATATTAAACTGTGATGAAGAATTAGAAACGAGTCTAGATTCTTTGATGATTCTAAGTGTAAAGCCTGTTTAGCAAAAAAAATCTACAATTTTGTTGAATGTTTGATTAAATAATATTTACAAGAAAAAAAAAAGACAGCCTCGCAAAGGATGGATGGTTTCAAGCCAAACGTGGATCATACTAATCATTGTACCTCTAAAAACACATAGTCACATACCATGAGAGATTTAATGAACAACCAAAATTCTTCAACATTGTTTTCCTAGTAATGCAAAGTCAATCTACCATCTCCTAAACTTTTTATGCAGTTTAGAGTGTTGAACTTGTCACATACTAGTCGTCCCGAGTAATTTAATCGGTCTTCGATGGAGAACAATGTGTTTGTATCCGCATCTCGCGATTTAGTTAACTTCTTAACAATAAAAAAATCATCTTCATTTGTGGTGTATATAATTTTTCTATCATTTTATTTCAAAAATATATAATCAAATCAATATTGACATAAATTACTCATTAATAAATAAAATATCTCACTGAAAATAAAGTTTTATACAAATGTATTAAAAATTTTATCAATCAATTTTATTAAAAAAAATATTTATATAGCAGCTATGCAACTAAAAGAAAATGTGTCAGATATCATCTAGAACCAAAAAGGAAAGAAAGTCCAACGATCCCATTTACTTCTTTCACCACCACCTCTAGTAGCAGAGAGATAGTATGGCGATTATGGTGCCGAGACGGCAACTCTTCATCGGCGGTCAATGGTCTGAGCCCGTTCGCCGTAAAAACTCTCCCTGTTGTCAATCCCGCCACCGAAGATATCATCGGTACTTTTTCTTTCGTGTTTTGCTCACCTTTTGAACTGGATCAATCGATTTTGCGAGTTTTGATTCAATCCATCGATATCGGAACTACACATTTCCCGATTTACCGTATACTTAGTTCGCGAATTCAGAGAGCTTTGAACTTTTGTCTGTTTGAGACGATCGTGATTTCTTCTGTGATGTTGGTTAATCCTTAGCTAGCTTCGGTTTTTCTTGTTATGAACTGGATCGGAAGTTGTTTTTTGCGTTAGATCTGTGGAATTATATCGGAACCTAGGAGGGAGTTGTATATGTAGTTGAAAATTTGGATCTCCTACTCCTATTCTGCTGATGGAGTGAGTTCTTTGTAGTGTTTTTAAGTTTCTTGATCGAATGATCGGTGGTGGTTTTAGGTTATATTCCAGCTGCAACTTCTGAAGATGTGGAGCTCGCTGTGGAAGCTGCTAGAAAAGCATTTACTAGGAACAACGGAAAGGATTGGGCTAGAGCAACTGGTGCTGTTCGTGCCAAATATTTGCGTGCTATTGCAGCTAAGGTAACAATGAGTTAATAAAATCTGTGTTCCTATCGTGTTCATTTTCTGTTAGCTGTTATGCCTGGCAATAACATAATGGAAATATCCAGGTGATAGAGAGAAAGTCTGAACTAGCTAATCTTGAGGCGATTGATTGTGGTAAACCACTAGATGAAGCAGCATGGGACATGGTATTCTCACTTTTTTTGTGAACATTTTTCAATTTTGTGATTCAAATGTCATATGTGGTTGCTTGTAACCGTTGCAGGATGATGTTGCTGGATGTTTTGAATATTATGCTGACCTAGCTGAAGGCTTGGATGCAAAGCAGAAGGCTCCTCTTTCTCTGCCAATGGATACTTTTAAGGGTTATATTCTCAAGGAACCCATTGGTGTTGTTGGGCTGATTACTCCATGGTATATTTCGTTGACAGATTTAAATCTAACCGATCCCTCAAATCGTTGTATATATTATCCTTCGTCAAGTTCACGGGTTTAAGTTTTACATATTCAGATCACATTGGTCTTCAAATTTTCTTTCTTCCTTTTTAGTCAAACCATGTGTTACGCCACCACATATTAGGTAGCTAATAATCTATATTTGCATTGAAGGAACTATCCGTTATTGATGGCTGTCTGGAAAGTCGCTCCTTCACTTGCTGCTGGGTGCACGGCAATACTGAAACCTTCAGAGTTGGCCTCCCTGTGCGTATTTGATTTATGTTGACATCATAGCTAGCTATTTCAACTTAGTTCATGAACTCGCCAATCTGATTTGGTTTTACTTCAGGACATGTTTGGAGCTCGCTGATATTTGCCGCGAGGTGGGTCTACCACCTGGTGTTCTTAATATTCTGACTGGTTTAGGAACTGAAGCAGGTGCTCCACTGGCATCGCATCCCCACGTTGACAAGGTCTGATACTCTGATTATAGTCACTTTTATCCTTACCAGTATCCTGAAAGTCAAACACTTGGAGATAGAGCATTTATTCTTAGCCTTTACCAGATTGTATTCACTGGAAGCACAACAACTGGAAGCAGCATTATGACTTCTGCTGCCAAATTGGTTAAAGTAAGTCCAAGTGTCCTTGTTACCCTCCTTTGGAACTAGTATCTACCTGGGCTTGTTTATTCGACCTATGATTATTCGTCATCTGTGGATGAATCTTGTTGTATGTTTCATTCCACAGCCTGTTTCCTTGGAGCTTGGGGGTAAAAGCCCTATCATTGTCTTTGATGATGTTGATATTGATAAAGGTGGGTACCTTTGGAACCTTAAGAAAACCATGCTATATATATGTATTCTAAACTATTGGTTTACTTAGTGACTAAAATTTTGTTCTAAACAGCTGTGGAATGGACTATGTTTGGTTGTTTCTGGACGAATGGGCAGATTTGCAGTGCCACATCTCGACTTCTTGTGCATGTAAGCGAGCATATAATCTGCAGTAGTCTCTGATTTTAAATTCTCCACCGAACTGTACATGATATGTGTTATCCTTTAACACAATTGCACGTCCACCCAAAGCTGCTCTCTAGAGAAGCTATATGTTGTGCAATTAAAGGTTTGCTTTGGAAATTTAGTTATAATTATGTAGGCTACTCTAGTCATGATACAAGTAGAAAATATGACTTCTCCTTTACATGAAACCACCAATGCAAATGTACACAGTTTCAGTATATTTTTATCTGTAAGACTGGTCATCTGCAATTCGGATAGACTGATAAGTATCAGTGATCATAGGACCTTGGAAGATAGAAGTAGGATAGAGAAGCTTTACTATACTTCTTGTGTACTGTTGTTTTCATGAAAAAAAATCTGGTGAAATGTCAGGAAAGGATTGCTGACGAGTTTTTGGACAAGCTGGTAAAGTGGACAAAGAACATTAAGATTTCAGATCCTTTTGAAGAAGGCTGTAGGCTTGGTCCTGTTGTCAGCAAAGGACAGGTAATATTCCTGAACAGAATTGAAATTCTCAAGAGTTAACTCCTCAATCCTCCAAAACCCTATTATCTATCACTTTGGGTTAATCACGAAAGATTTCTAGTCAAGTCTTACATCTTTAATCCTGTGCAGTACGAGAGAGTTCTGAAGTTTGTCTCAAACGCTAGGAATGAAGGTGCAACTGTCCTTTGTGGAGGAACTCGCCCTGAGGTACATTACAGAATACAGATATAGAGTAATCTTCTATGTATGTCCAAATACTATCTAGATCCGGTAGTAGCACTTACAATGTTTTATTTATGTTCTGCAGCATTTAAAGAAGGGATACTTTGTTGAACCTGCGATTATTTCAAATGTGACTACTTCAATGGAAATCTGGAGAGAGGAAGTCTTTGGTCCTGCTCTGTGTGTTAAAACATTCTCCACCGAGGATGAAGCAATTGAACTGGCAAATGACTCTCAGTGAGTTTAGATTTTTCTTCTTATCTTGAATTGGAACTCCACTGATGATGTCTTAGATCATATGCCTGACTTTATTTGTATTTGCAGATATGGATTAGCCGGCGCAGTATTATCAAATGATCTGGAGCGCTGTGATCGTGTTAGTAAGGTGTGTATTTAACTTTACTACCAACAATAACAATCAGTAACTGCACATATCTCATGATTAAACTTCATCTCTAAAGTTTATGAATCGTAATCATTGTGTTTTCAGGCTTTCCAGGCGGGAATAGTATGGGTCAACTGCTCTCAGCCATGCTTCTGCCAAGCTCCATGGGGTGGAACCAAACGCAGTGGATTTGGCCGTGAATTGGGAGAATGGTAAGTCTCTTTCTTTTGCTACAAGTGTCAAGATTACATACCATTTTAAAAAACCTCTCCATAGTAACTTAAACCTTAATAGATTACCAACAAAATTTGAATTGAAACATATTTTCTTCCTTGCAGGGGACTTGAGAACTACTTGAGTGTGAAGCAGGTGACACAGTATATCTCTGATGAACCATGGGGATGGTACAAACCTCCTTCCAAGCTCTGAGACAAACAATACTTCCTGATATTCCCTTAAAACATGTATTAATGAGAGTATACCAATAAAAGCAAGAGACCCTTCTGTTAGAGAAATGGTATTGCTACTTTATATTCCATTAAAAAAAAATGGAAAATAAGATGAGATGGTGTTCTTTTTTGTTTCTCTCAAAACAATATGCCATACAAAAGCTGCAAAAAACTGGCAAAAGATGAATGCTCTTATATGTAACATACAAAAGTTACAGCCTACAGTAACTTCAGAAAGCAAAGAGGGTATGCGATCTGTGAATTAATGTGGGATTCTTGCAGTTACAATTGTGCGGAGAAACTAAACCACAGTGATCAAAAGAAATGACTCTTGAAGCTCTCTACAAATGATGATGTTCACAGGTAAGAGAAGAAGAAGACGAAGAAGATCTAACGGTGTTGTGATGTATTAGGTAATGGATTCTTCTGGGTGACTTCGCTGAACCATGTCTTCCAAGCATCCATGTAATGGGAAAAGAGGTCTTTCAAAACTGAAATTTGTTCAGAACAGAGTTAGTTTCATATATTTTGACAAATTTGATATCAAATGGATGTGAATAAATATGCACCTTGGTTTTGGTAAGAGGGACGGTAATCCGAATTCAGATTCTCAACATCAAAAGCTCTCCTAGAGTTGTCCTCCAAACCAGCTCTTGGATATGTACCAGTGCCTGGTGCAAAAGGACCAAACTGGTAACCTCTTGATCGATGTCCTGATTCATGAACATCAAAGCTTTTGTTATAAGAACTCTCTGGTGTTGTGTGTTTTTTCATCTTTAACTTTCTCTCTGTAGCATTTTCTTGGGAGGAAGATGATGATTTGCTTCTCTTGACATTAACATTTGTAAGATCAGTTCCGAAAGCTCTTTTTCTTGATTCCAGTAGCATCAAATCGCTGCTCAGCGTGAAAGTAGGCTCACCATTGTATCCTAACCACTTGAAAGCTGGTTTTCGAGAATCTAAGGTGTGAGTCTGTCACCATAGAAGAAAGTAGTTAGACTAATTAACAGCTACATAACATAGATGGTTCATAAACGCTGTAGCTATGATGGTTTTTAGTTTACCTTCTCGATAAGATTCATAGATGACAAGACATTCGCAATATCATAAAGCCGCCTCACTTTTGCTTCAACAAAACAATTAAGGTGTGAACAAACACAGATCGATTTTCTTTCAAGTGGGTATGCAACAATAGAAAAAAATAGTCTAAAAGTCACAAGATGAAGATAATTACTTCTCATTATCGATGTATTGTGGGCATCACCGAGCAGTAATTTTGCAGCCTCGTCAAGGGAAATGATCCTAGCCTAAACAGTTGAACACATTTAAAAAAATCTTTAGTAACTTGGTGGAAAACTCTTTAGTTCATAAAACGAATCTATGAACTTGTCACTTACTTCAGAGCAAATAAAGAGTTTGATAAAGTTCTGAGTAAGCAATCCTAAAGATTTCTCTCGTCGATTATCTGTCACACATAACCAACCAACAAAATGTCAGAGAATCCACCATATATCTCATAAACCATATACTGTATGTTCTTTGGCATAAAGGCCCAGTGCCGTTTATATAATTGACAAGAGGGCTGATTCTAACCTAGAACTTGTTACATCACTAAATCTACTTTGCAATTGAACTAAACCCAATCACAATAAGTACTACACACACAAACAAAAAAAAGTACCTATCTTTGACGAATCTGAAGATTGGGGAAGAGAGCCAGGTTTTGAACTATCAGTCTGGCTACTAGAATGAGGCTGAGAAGACTCTTCATCATCATCCTCATCATCAGATCCCTGAAAGTATGAAACTTTACGCATTAAGAGCATGAATACAACAAACTAAAGACATTAACAGATTGAGGAAAACCATATCCAAATCACTTACTTTAACATTCTCATTGACATAGAAACGATGAAATGTGTCCTTAACCCCTTCTTCCTGCATCAGGAACACCTCTTATGAGAATATTCAAATAAAATTGCTACAACTCCTACACAATTGGGATCGAATGAGATTGAATTCGAATATAAAACAAACAAAAAACCACTCACTTGTAGTTCCTTCAATGCTCCTGGAATTGCGGCAAACCCTTTCCACGTATACTGATTCTTTGCTCTTCTTGTTAAAACCTAAATTAGACCACACTCGAATCTAAGCAAACACAAGAAAAGAGATTCAACAAATTCTGGACATCCATGCTTAAAGAACATTAACAAATCTCACCCCAACACTCTCAAGAACATTAACAATATCATAGATTCTTCGTCTCTCCACTCCTGAAATAAACCCCAATCAACAAATTAACATGTAAAATCAGAAATGAAAATAAAAAATCACAAACACAAAGTGGGCAATACCTAATTTCGAAGCAGCATCATCAAGCCCAATCATTTCAATCCCATCTCGATTATACAAAGCCAAGAAACTGAGTTTATAAAGAACACTAATCAGAACAAATTCAACAATAACAAAACAAAAAAAAACTTAATGGGTTTTGTAAAAAGGCACTAACTTGGTACAAAGAAGTCCGAGAGATTTCTGTTTCCGACTATAGGAATGGTGTAAAGAAGAAGAAGATTCCGGCATGGAAGTAATGGGAAGTTTGATTCTTTCTGGAGATAGATCTGACATGATTGACGCAAACGATGTCTTCTGGGATTGAGAATTTGATATTGTATTTTGGAGGGATTTCCAAAATGAGAGAGGGGGAATTTGGGAAGATACTTGAGCGCCAATTTGAATTTTTTGGCTCCTCCTTCTTCGTAACAATAACACTCCTCCAAATTTTGGTAAAGCTGAAACTTTTACGGTTTTGTGCTCGGTTCAGATCGGAATTTTTTTGGTTTTTCTTTTTGTTTATTCGGTTAAGAAAATTTCTTACCATATTTTGTGGATTCTGTTCAACTTTTTCATTTTTATTTTCCAAAATTTAGATTAGATGAACCAAATTAATACATTTTCAATCAATATTATAGTAACAAGATCTATTTTGGATATCTTTTTAATTTGAATTCAAAAAAGTAAAGTTGTAAGGGATTTGGTCGAAATTTGGTTTTGGTTTGGTCTGGTTTATTTGGTTTTGGAAAGTTTAAATCTTTTGATTTGTAATCTTTTAAAGAGTACTAATGCCCTTAAAATGGTAGATTCATGATAGTGCATAAGCAAAATCAGGGTCTATGTTTGACTAATTATATTACCATTAATTCAAAATTTCTATTGACCAAAGCAAAAAGGTTCTTTTGTCCATTCATTAGCTAACTAAGGTTTTTTTTTTTGTTTAAAAGTTGTGCATACCTTTGGTCTTACTCATTTGAGCCAAACCAATTAATTTAAAGTTGTTGACAAAAAAAGTAGTTTTGCATTTTTCTTTTATTTTTACACTTTTTCAATAATTCAGTGATACTTACTAAAAAATTAATACAAAGTGACAAAATTGTAAATATATAAATTGATATGATATTAAAATTAGTTATGTAACAAGCGTTTTTTGTGTGTGTGTGTTAGTTTATGGGCTTATTTTGAAACCCAAAAGTTAATCAATGGGCCCAAGACACACACGTTCTCTCTGTAAATTTCAAAATAATTAGATGGAGGGAGCAAATGTTTCTGAAATCTCCACGACGAAGAAGAGATTCTTCGATTCTTTTTTGAATACTTAAGTTAACTCTCAGTTTCTGCTTCTGTTATGGTCTCTAAAGATAGTTGCCGCAACGAAATCCGTGCGGCTATTCGACAGCTTAGCGACCGTTGTTTATACTCCGCCGCAAAGTGGTTCGTTTCTCAAAACCCTAATCTTATTCAATCTCTCCCATTGTTGCAATCTCGAGCTCGCTACTGCTCTGGTTCCATTAAAAATCGAATTTTTCAGTATCTTTTATGGGTTTTGCTATATTTTTGTATCCTGGGCTAATTGTAACCAAATTTGGTTAAGCAGAATCGTTGATTCGAATTCACTTTTGTTGCGAATTTGGTGTTGGATACATTCCAATTTGACATGCAGGTTTGTGGGTTTTGTGTTTTGATATGTTTGAGCTCGACACTGATTGAAAAATTTGTTCTTTTGATGGGAATTTCTGATTTCGGTTCAATCTCATTTGTGAATTATGAGTTAAAGTTTCAGTTTTTAGTACTCGTATTGTAATGCAATGGTGATGCACTATTAGTCAGTTCCATGTTTGATATCTTCTTGGCTTTCACCATTACAGGGCAGGAGAACAGCTTGTGGGGATAGAGCAAGACCCGTCTAATTTTACACCTGCGAATACGAGGTTTCAGCGAGGAAGCTCTAGCATCCGGAGAAGGTTCAGCACCAATGAATCTATTTCAACACCATTACCTTCCATTGGCTTCTCTCAAGCAGCTACTCCTCTCCCGGAAGAAGATGAAGCGATTGATGGTGACTTTTACCTTTTAGCAAAGTCCTACTTTGATTGTCGAGAGTACAGACGGGCTTCCCATGTGCTTCGTGATCAAGTGAGCAAGAAATCAGTGTTCTTGCGTTACTATGCCCTTTATCTGGTATGTTCTGTTTCTCTATCTCCTCTTTCCAATTTAGCTAGAGCTTCTATATCTTATCAGAATAGGGTGATGGAATGAATTTTTAGAAGTTGGCTTCAATGGCTTTTGAAGGTTCTTTCAGCTCTAGGCAGTAGGCTGCCTTCCAAATAAATGCAATTTATGACATTTTTACATACTTACAAGATTGAGCCTCTGATTCACAATTACGTTATTGTCCAGTCACAGTTGTGTTCTATGGATACAAGAGATATTAGGGTATGCAACTGATATACAAAAGTAAATAAATGAGTGAAACTTAATTGGAAGTTGTTTGTCCTGTTTAAAGACTATTGTGTAAACGTTTATGGCAATTACTTACTGAGAGTTTTTTTTTATCCCCCGCCTACTTACACCGAAACAGATAGTACTCTATAATATGTCATTAACTTTGTTATCGTTTCAATGAAGGCTGGAGAAAAACGGAAAGAAGAAGAAATGATAGAACTTGAAGGCCCTTTGGGTAAGAGTGATGCCATAAACCGCGAACTGGTATCTCTGGAGAGGGACTTATCAGCTCTGAGGAGGACAGGAGCAATTGACTCTTTTGGATTATACTTGTATGGTGTGGTTCTTAAAGAAAAGGGAAATGAAAGTCTTGCTCGGGCCAGCCTCGTGGAGTCTGTGAACAGCTATCCATGGAACTGGAGTGCTTGGTCAGAGCTGCAGTCTCTGTGTACTTCGATTGAAATCTTGAATAGCCTTAATTTAAACAATCACTGGATGAAGGAGTTTTTTCTTGGCAATGCTTATCAAGAACTCAGAATGCACACTGAGTCTTTGGCGAAGTACGAGTATCTGCAAGGTATTTTCAGTTTTAGCAATTACATCCAAGCTCAAACTGCAAAAGCTCAGTATAGTCTTAGGGAATTTGACCAGGTTGAAATCATGTTTGAAGAACTTCTGAGAAACGATCCCTATCGGGTGGAAGATATGGATTTGTATTCTAATGTTCTGTATGCAAAAGAAGCATGTGCTGCGCTGAGTTACCTTGCACATAAGGTGTTTTTGACTGATAAGTACAGACCTGAGTCTTGCTGCATCATTGGCAACTACTACAGTTTAAAAGGCCAGCATGAGAAAGCAGTTATGTATTTCCGGAGAGCTTTGAAACTGAACAAGAAGTATTTATCTGCGTGGACTCTTATGGGCCATGAATATGTTGAGATGAAGAACACGCCTGCTGCCATTGATGCATATCGACGAGCTGTTGATATAAACCCTTGTGATTATCGAGCTTGGTATGGGTTAGGACAGGCATATGAGATGATGGGGATGCCTTTTTATGCACTTCACTATTTTCGCAAATCCATATTCTTTCTTCCAAACGATTCTCGGTTGTGGATAGCCATGGCTAAATGTTATCAAACCGAACAGCTTTACATGCTTGAAGAGGCCATCAAGTGTTACAAAAGAGCTGTAAACTGTACTGACACGGAAGGAATAGCTCTTAATCAGCTGGCAAAGCTTCACCAGAAGCTTGGACGTAATGAAGAAGCTGCATTTTACTTCGAGAAGGATTTAGAGAGAATGGATGCTGAAGGATTAGAAGGACCAAACATGTTTGAGGCTTTAGTTTTTCTTGCTACACATTTTAAAACTCACAAGAAGTTCGAAGAAGCAGAAGTGTATTGCACCCGTCTTCTCGATTATAGTGGACCTGTAAGTTTTCTGCTCCAATTTTCTCCACTGTTAACTAGTTTACAAGGATCTGAGTATCCTGATATACTTATTACACTTAGTGAGTTAGTGTGACGAGATTGCATTCATGTTTTCAGGAAAAAGAAAAGGCAAAGAGCTTACTCAGAGGGATCAGAATGGCGCAAACCGGTTTTCCTTCAATGGATCTCGAGCATTTTCCTATTTAGCTGTACTGTTCCGAATACTCAAAAGCTCTTTGAGAGAGAATATCTCCCATCATGTACACTATAAACCTTTGTACACCATAAGTGATCTATGCATCAGTTATGTCACAGCAGATTCTGGCTGTTTGTAACCTAAATTCCAAATTATATATTTCATCAAGATGATTCTTCTGTGATTTCCTTGGATCACAAATTTCGATGCCGAGTTTGGACAAGTCCCCAATCCCGTTTACATTTATATGGATTCAGGACACATTATGGAACAATGTTTTTCACTCTTTGTTGGCTCAAAATTAGTGTTTGTCCATCACAATGTCAAAAATCATGACAATTTGAAGATAGTATGTGCTTATTACTCTCAGATGAGATGGTCATTAAAAGTATGCTGCCAAAGGCAATTCATACAAATAGTTATTTTCTGCGTAAAAGTGACAACATAAGCCCAGCATTAACAAGTGTTCAGCTGGAGGATACATCAACAATATGAAATTGACAAATGAGGTTTATATGACAAGAGATTCAATTCCAGAAACAATACGACAAAGGTCTTGAAAGATGGTTTCAGTATGTAGGATCAGTGAAGAACTTGTTGAGACCAGGCATGATTTCAGGTTTCTTATTGCGAACAAACTTCCTCAGGAAATTTTCCTTATACTTCTCTCCCTCTGCATGGTTATCCAAAATTCCAGCAGCCCTGTTCTCCTTGGTGCATCTGGAGACGATTCAAAAAACAAAACCCTTTAAGAACACACACACTGAATCCAAAAAACAAACCCGAATTTCAATGGCAAGAAACTTCAAGAGTCCAAGCATCTCTATTTCTGACTCTAAAAATAGCCAAGACAAGAAATACTTGTTAGGCTGTAATCCATTCATGTTTAAACCCTAATAGAACACACTGCATCCCAAATCTAAACTCATTAGAATACACAGAATCCAGAAACAAACCCTAATGCAAGAAAGAAACTTTAGATTCAAAAACATCTCTGTTCTAGCTCTATATTAAGTTGTTTTGTTCCATTTCAAAAATAAAGATGATGATCTAAAAACCTAATTCCATAAGTTGTTCCCAATCAATTGTCAAAGTGGCAATCAAAAATCTGAGGAGGAGATAACAAACCTGACTTCAGGGTTTCCGGTGATGTTTCTGATCAAGGAAAACGCACAGATCCCAACGGCAACTCCGGTAGCAGCGAACAAAGGATACACCTACCGAAACAAAAACAACGAAACACGTATTGATTCACGAGGCTAATTCATAGAAGAATCGAATTCAGATCTAAGGATTTAGAAACTAGACGTAAGTCAAAAGAGAATCAACAGATGGATTTCTTCGATACAGGGAAAATCAAAGATCGATATGAAAATAGTACCTCAGGTCTCAACCAACGGCTCGCCATTGAAATCGCAGAGAAGATGATACGAAACGAGAGAGAGAGAGATTGAAGACGGCTTTCTCTGAAAATGTTGAAGAGACGTAGAAAAGACCTCACTTTATATTTGACTTTTAGGTTTTTCGGTGAATTTTTGTAAGAAAATAAAATAAAATTGGAATACTGAATTCTGATTGGCAGCGAGGCGTCCAGCTTGAAACCAATGAGGTATTGACAGCTGTCTGTTCAGAGTTTCGAGACACCGTTTTCTTTTACCAGTTTTTAGCTGTTACGAAACGATATAGCAAATTGGCAAGTTGTTGTAACAGTATATTCATAGGCCCAAAAGAAAGTGTTTTTGGGTCACGGCCCAGGAACAGTCCTACGAAACTTCTAGGGCTTTCTTTCTACTATATATATAAATAGTTCTTTAAAACCTAAACCCTATATTTTCTGTGACGTGTGAAGAAATCTTTCTACTTCTTGTCGCTCCCTTCTGCTATCTCAAGTGAGTATTAGGTTTTGTTGTTTTGTTAAGACGTAGTAATATCATCGATAAAGGCTTGAATTGCTTTTCCCTTTAATTCGATCTCATGTGTTCTGCTATCTCCTGGGATTTTCTAATTAAGTTCATTGTTTTTTGAATTTGTCGATTCGTTGTTTGTTCTCCTTTAGAGATTATCCAAGTTTTATTGATGAGATTTTTCGTTTGTTTGATGTGGGAAACCAACTTATGTAGTAAACTATAAAATCAAATAGGTCGCTTAAAAGTGTCACCTTGAATATAAGCGTGTTTTAGATCTGGTGATAATACTAGTTACTTGATTTTTTTTTTTTTGCTGGATGTTAGCTATAGCATTGAGATGTTACATAATTTGATTTCTCTTGAGCTTTATGTTTTTTTTTTTTTTTTTTTTGCTTTGTTGAGGTGAAAAAGATGAAGCACTACATGCCTATTGTTCGTGAGACTCCAACAATTGAGTTTGTAAAGCTCACCCCCGACATGAAATCGTTCGAAGCTTATAAGACTATCCGTGTAGAGCGCACAATGAAGAGACATGCCGGTGCTAGAGCCAAGAGGGCTGCAGAGGCTGGAAAAGAAGAGAAGAATTGAGGGTCCTTTTTTCTTCTTATGTAGGAGTAACTTTTATCTTTTAACATCGTTTGGAATTTGATCTTATGTATCTGACTCTGTTTTATGCTTGAAATCTTGGATTTTGCTACTACCTTTCGTCTGCTTTATGTAAAAGACCTTATCTTTTCTTCCTTTGGCCTTTTATTATTGACGAAGAAAATTTTAGGTACTAATAAACTAATCTCTGGACCACTTCTAAATCTATCGATGATGAATCCTTTTCATATTCAACCTAGCAATTCAGATTTCCACGAGTAGTGTTATGAGAATCTCATAATAATGCAAGAACTTGAATAACGTTTATGCCAAATATTACATAATCCAACCATATCTTCCAACTTTATCGATGGGCAATCTATATGGATCGCAAAAAAAAAAAAACTAATATCGGAGTAATGAGTAATATCACTTTCAAAATTTCTACAAGAAACATATGATCAATACTTTGTCAACTATAAACTAGATTAATCATCACGACTTCCATAGTTCCATTATATATATGAATTTCATAACTTGCGAGCTCTGTCACGCCAAGATGGCAAGATCCTTGCTGTTTTGCAAGCACCTAGAACACGAAGTATGGGGATTAACAAGCTTACGTACAGACCTTAAAATGGATCTCTAAGAATCTCGATTGGTTTGAGAGCAAAAGAAATGAAGAGAGCTCACAAATTTTTACCTTTTCGCTTAGAAGACTTATCGTGCTACTGTTGCTTTCTCCTTCATCATCCTTTGCATTAGTTATCTCTGTAACATCATCGCCGCCTCGCCGGTGTTATTGGTAGGAGTTTGGCATGTGGGTGCTCCAAACATGGCCTCATCGTGGGCGGCTTTTAATTGCTCTTCCCTTTTCGCCTATATTCAACCATATAGTTTATTTGAAGCTCTGATATAATAAAAACTGAGACTTGTTTAGAGATCGACAATGTAAGCTAATGACGCAGTAAACCCATGCGCTTGACTATGGCAGCATCGTCATCAGTACCTTTAATCATATGAACTTTTTTAGCATCATAGTATTAGTTACAAAAAAAAAAAGGTTTGATGATCATGTCAAATTGTCAATTATCAAACGTCTAAATTTTTTTACTCGACCGCCCCTCCCCCACCACCAACCCAATTATTAATGGGTTTGTTTTCCAGTCGGCCCATGTACCCAACGAAACTTTTAGGGTTTACCATTCAGGTATATATATAGAAAAGCTTCCAACCCTAAATATCCAATATAATATTTCCTCTACTTCTTGTCGCCTATCTCGAGTAAGTATATTAGGCCATCTCCAACGGGTATGTTTTGCATCGTCTCTCATTATTAAAATAAAGAAAAAAATAGGAAAAAGAGGAGAGAGGGAGAGAGTCGTCGCTCTTGTGAGAGACTTTAAGAAACGTTTATCACAGATGTCCTACTATAATTAGTCTAACTAAAATATTTATTAATAAAATATGAATTTATTTATGTTCACATTTAAAAGTTGTGTTCACACGTATATGAGAAACTGAAATAGAGAGACGAGCGTTGGTGATGCTCTTATTAGTTTCGGATTTTGTTAAACAAAGGCATGTTCTTTTTTGTTCTGCTAGCTCTTGGAATTCTCTAAGTTTGTTGTTTTGGTTTTTTTTTTTTTTTTTTTTTTTTTTTTTTTTTTTTTAGTTTGTTGTTTTGTTTATTCCGAGTTTTTCTGAGTTAGCTGATTCGTTGTTTGTTTTGCTTTAGAGATTAAAAAAAGTTTATTTAGTAAACTCCAAATCAAATTGGTCATTATATAACACATGTTTTTTGTTACTAGTTTTTTGCTTGTTGGATGTTAGCTATAGCGATGAGATGTGGCCTTATTTGATTTCTCTTTTCTAATGTTTTTTTTTTCATTTAGTTGAAAAAAAATGAAACACTACATGCCTATTGTTCGTGAGAAGCTAACAATGGAGCTTGTAAACCTCACTTCCGACATGAAATCGTTCAAAGCTTATGATACTCTTCGTGTAGCACGCACAATGAAGAGACATGCTGGCTCTAGAGCCAAGAGGTCTTCAAAGGCTGAGAAAGAAGAGAAGAAGTGAGAGTCCTTTTTTCTTTCTTATGTAAGAGTGACTTCTCTTCATCATCATTTGGAATTTGATCTTATGTATCTCGACTCTTTTTTAGTGAAATCTTTTTCATCATCGTTTGGAATTGATCTTATGTATCTTTGATTCTTTTTAGTCCTTGATATCTTGGGTTTTATGGAAGAGACCTTATATTTTCTTCCTTTAATTAGCCTTATATTATTGACCTTGCTGATATTTGGTTCTCTTGGGTTTTTGAAAAAAAATTCATATCACATACAAATATCTGTACCACTCCTAAATGTATCGGTGATTTATACTTTTTCATATTCAACCTAGCAATTCTGATTTTCACGAATAGTGTAATGCGAATCTCATAATAATGCCAGAAGTTAGAAAATCGTACTACATAAAAAAATTGGTAATGCTAAAGATTACATGATCCAATTATATTTTCCAACTTCATCGATTGGCAATTTAAATGGATTACAAAACAAAATGGTAACTGATATCGGAGTGTTATGAGAAAAATCACTTTCAAACACATCAACAGAATTTGTACAAGAAACAAAACGATCATGACTTCCATAGTTCCATTATATATATATATGAATTTCATGACTTGCGAGCTCTGTCACGCCAAGATCCTTGCTGTTTTGCAAGCACCTAAAACACAAGTTACGGGATTAACAAGCTTACGTACGGACCCTAAAATGGAGCTCCAAGAATCTCTATTGGTTTGAGAGCAAAGGAAGTGAAGAGAGCTCACAAATTTTTACCTTTTCGCTTAGAAGACTTATCGTGCCACTGTTGCTTTCTCCTTCATCGTCCTCAACATTAGTTGTCTCTGTACCATTACATTCGGTGTTATCGGTATGAGTTTGGAATGTGGGTACTCCAAACATGGCCTCATCGTGGGCGGCTTTTAGTTGATCTTCCCTTTTCGCCTACAAGTTTTTATTCAACCATATAATTTGTCTGAAGCTCTGATATAATAAAAACATTGACTTGTATAGTGATCGACAATGAAAGCTAATGAATCAGCAAACCTCGATAGCGGAAAACCTAAAACTATGTCCCATGCGCTTGACTAAGGCAGCATCATCGTCAGTACCTACAATCATATGAAGTTTATTAGAATCAAGAGTGTAACTGGGAATGATTTCGGCTTTTAGCTCCATTGTACAACGAAATCGTTGGAGTAAATCATAGAAATACACGGGAAACTGACCTTCTTCTACTTCTTCATCATCAACTGGAGCATCTTTGTCAAATTCAAATCTTTCCCATCCTGCACCCTTACTGGTATCTTTCTCAGCTGCAAACCAAGCAGATCATTAATTTCAAGGTGAACTAAACATGAGATTGATATAAATGTTTCCACAAGGTGAACAATGCAAAAGATCTCATTTTTAAGGACAGAGTTGATCTTTCTTGTTCTTTTTATTCTTTCTCAGACACCAGGAATTTTTTCTTCATCTACCACTAAATACATTTACAGAGATTTGATATCTCCAGGAAAGGGTTAGTCTCAATCCTCCTTATATACAGAGCTGCTATGAAAATCTATGAGGTCAATACACACTAAGAGATTTTGCTTTGCGGATAAGGAAAAGCTAGGAAAAGTCTTCTCCCAGCAGTAACATACATTGCATCCTCAATGCCACAAGATAAAAAGCCAAAACACAGCCCTCCACAGAACTACACCATAAAGACTTTGATAGATGGGAGAATTCTCAGCTACCTGACCCAATGCCCAACCAAAACCCTAACATTCTCCGTACCTCCATTTTTAACATTAGCACCTCAACTAACTGACTTCAGGCTACGATTCACTACAAAATTTCAAGGCTATTACAATAGTCTTGCATCAGATTAATAAGAAAGCCTTATCAGCATCATCAAGGCCACGACATTAAGTGCCAAAACAGAGCCCCACCGTTCTAACATTCCAAAGATGGATCCCACTCAAAAGATGTTGTCAGGTGAATTAGATCTTAGCTGCTAGAAGCATGGACAATAGAATCAATGTAATCTCTCAAATGGACCGACTAACATACCAGTTTCATCAAGCTGGAGCTTCATTTTGGCCTTCACTTTTTCAGCAGCTGACTGTTCAAGAAAGCAACACAACAACCAACTCCTATGATACCAATGGAAATGACAAATCACACACACACACAAAATACCAACAACAAAAATACAGAATCTAAATCCATAAACAAAGAAGTTAAACCAAATTAGAGCTCAAGGATGTTTATTATCTTAAAACATCTATTCGTGCTTAATAAAGTAAATGTGGGGGTACATGAAGGCAATTCCTAGGTTGCAATACCAACCGAATCTTTAGGTTGATGTTAAGCTCCAGCTAAGAATAGCTATCTTCTTATTACTATAACTCCCAAATTCTAGAGGGATTCTAACATTACGAAGCTGATTCTGGTAAACAAAAGTTCATCGAAGTATAGTAACCATCAAGGCTGAAGAATGATGAGAGAAATGAGTATTACCATCTCATCGTAGCCTTTGATTAACCGCGAGTAATTAATCTTCTTCTCCTTAACATCGTCTCTCCTCCTACGTTCTCTTCTCGGCGACGAACTTTTGCTCCGGCTCCTCCTCCTCCTCCGTCTATCTCTATCATCATACCTATTACGCCTCTCTGCACTCCTACTCCTGCTTCTCCGTCTCTCTCTATCCCCATACCTACTACGTCTCTCTGTACTCCTGCTCCTGCTTCTCCGCCTATGGCTTCTATCTCTCTCATCCCTCTCTCTACTCGGATAACGACGCCGTTCACTCGATTCTCTGTAGCTCCTCTCCGGAACTCTAGGATCTTCAGGTTTCTTCTTCAATTTATCTCTGATGGATCGGATCTCGGAATCCTTGTTATCAGTGGATTTAGTAGGGTTAGAAGCCTTGACGAACTGGTTGAGAAACGAAGACGACGATGCAATCGCCGATCCTCTATCCGGAACGGCGTTGGCTCCGGTGGAGAAGCCGAGGCCTTGCTTGAAACGAGCAGCTCCTTCTCCTTTACGCGTGAGCTCGTCGTAGTAAGCCGCCGCTTTTTCCTCCTCCATAACTTAGCGCCGTTTCTCCCTTGGGTTCTCTCTCGGAACCTCTTCACTCTCTCTCCCACTGATTTTTCTTAATATTATCTTATAATCCAATGTTTTCATTTGAATTTTTTAAAATTAGTCAAAAGTATTTATATGAGGTGATTCAAATCTTTGAATCATTTTTATTATTTAGGTTATGAAACTATTTTTCAAGAGTTCAATTGCACAAGTTTTAGTTTGAATTTCTTTAAAATTAACACAAACCTATATGAGGTTATGAAACACAGAAAAAATGAGAGGTCAATGAATTGATGATTCCTGAGTGGGGATTATGAAACAAGTAAAAGGCTCAAAATCCTGGCAAAAATGAGAGGTCAATGACTCCTGTGGGAAGATTGGCAATGTTATTGAGCAGAGCGAGTCTGTTCTTCCTCACTCTTTCTTCCTCCTGCAAATACCGTTAATTCAAACTTCACTCGTCTGTGATAAAGCTCGAGTACAGTGTGAGAACAAAGTTTCAACTTACCACCATCACGAATACATTGTTGAAGAAATCCTCGAGTGGCTCCACCAATTGCATGGATACCTCGGTGAACTCCTCTATTTCTATGCCTGAAATTTGGAAGCGAGTGAGAGAAATTTGACACAGGCTTGTTTGAGAGAATACAGCTGAGAAGAAAGTGGAGTTACCAGTGTGAATTCGATCTTTAATAGAGGTGTAAGTACTCCACAACGCTCTCTCTTGGGAAGTCTCAAATGCATTCTCATCCACCTGATTGCATCATTCAATGTTAGAAGCTGCAAGTTTTCACAAATGCTCTTTGATCAGACAGAGTACCTCAACTCCAACACCAACGTCTTTCCCTCGGACAATGCGTGTGGGACGAGAATATGCTTCCACTATCTTCGGAAATATCTCACCTTTGCTTAGCTTTTCCATCTGCAAGGCATCAGCCAAAGCACCAGCGATGTTACCTTCTTTTGAGCAAAATCACTATGACACAGCAACATTCCAAACCAGAAGATAATCAAGTTTCAGTCTGCCTTCTAGTCTCTATTACTATATAGCGAAGGAGCTTCAACCAATTAAATTGAGATATATCCTTCTAAACTAGGCTTAATCCAATCTCCATAAAATCTGACTTGTAGGAGAATGATGCCCACAGGCTTCTCAACTATTACCTAATCTCAGCTAACCGCTGTTGGATCATATCACAAGTCACTTACCTTGTATGCAGTCCGTGCTGCCAGACAAGGATTGTTTCCACGCTCTGCTAGGACAGACCTAACTACTTCAGGGCTTACTCCGTTGTCAACCTATAAAAAGGATATAACGTTGTTTCAAGAACCGGAACCTAACGTATTTCAGTTTAAAGAGCTGGGAAATCAAAAAAGATAAGCATCACAAAAGTGGCACGAACCAGTAGTTGTTCCAGTCTTCGTGTAACAAATTGATACACCTAGAAACAAATAAAACAGTTAATTATATCACGAACAAATTCAGATGATGGTTTACAACCTGTAAATGGGATAACAAGACTTGATTCTCACATCTTCTACAGTGTTTGCCTCAACCTTGGTTGGTTGTACACTAGCTGCAAGTTCTAGAGCACGTTTGAAGTTGACATTTTTATCCTTCTCGACCAAAATCTGAACCTGTGGCATACAAAGTATTACTTGGCATCCATAACATGACAAATGATAATTGCTCATTTTCAGATCAGAATATCAATAAACTTACTAAGCCATATGATATTCTTCTAAGGCCAAAAGGGTCATTTGTTGAACTTGGCTGGCAACCAGCAGCAAATAAACCAACAAGGCTATCCAATCTACAGTCACAGGAACAAGTATAGGTGTTATTATATAGAATCACAAATTCGAACAAAAATTATCATATCAGAATTATATGCAATTTAGCCCCGCACCAATCCAGATACAAGCTTTTGTGTTCACAGGACGAACCGTTTGGCATATAAAGAAATGGGAGAGACAACAAAACTTTAGGCTTTCAATTTACCTATCCGCTATTGCCAAAACCATTCCTGCATCTGTTTTTGGGATGACGTCTCCAGAAAATCTAGGAAGTGTAATTTCCAGCAAAGCTTCTGCTATCTGCATCCCAGGAACACAATTGTCATATAATAATGGAGTACATGCTAATAGATATATACCACAGTAGGCTAGTAGCTTAAGTCTATGAGGTAAAAGAAGCTGCCACAAGAGTAACTTATGCCCATAAACATACACAGACACACTTGAACAATCCACTACCTGCTCTGAATAGCCATCTCTGAGAGCATAATGACGAGCCATTATTCCTGACAGAGCAGTAAATTCTGTAACTACAGCAGTTGCAAGGTCTGACATAGCAAGTGAGGCAGCATCCTCTACAACCGGAAGCAGATCTTCATCAATTTCGAGGGCCAAACAAAGCTTAGATACCATCTTTTTTAGGCGGTTCATCTTATCCAGCATTGTCCCCAGCTTTTCCTATTAATTCACATAAGCATGGATAAGAATCTTGTGTTGTATGTGCTACTGAAGTCAATATTATATGGTTTGCATTTTTTACTTGTACTAGTACTGATTACTGAACCACTGAAACCACAATGAAACTACTGAAAAAAACAAAGGAAGTACGACCATCTAGTAATGCATTTATCGTATCCAGCTTCTTATCTAAGATATGTACCGAAGGAAAACTTACATGGAAAAGAATTCCCTGTAGCTGATCTCGGAATTCAGAAAACCTTTTCCTTGTGTCCACCTCATAGAAGAACTTCGCATCTTCATAACGTGCCCTGCAAAAGTAAAACATGACCTTTGGGTACTTTTAATATGGACCACTATCAAGACTTGACAGCATATAAGTAGGGCAATGCAAACAGCTAAAAGAATAAAGACGTGCCAAGAAGGATCTACTCTATCTATCAATTGAGTAAAAAAATTTAGCCACTTATAACACATCTCAACCTGAGAACTGCTTCATTTCCTTTCTTCACCACATCCTCATTTATTGCACCATTGGCAACCTAAACAAAGTCACACTCTGTTTCATCAGCTATTAAAAACTTGTTTTTGTGCCATTAAAAATGAAAAAAATATATGCAGCAGAAGACAGTGCAAGGCTAGAGTTTCGTACAGCAATAAAGTAAGGCAATAGCTGTCCACTCTCATCAATAATAGAAAAATACTTCTGGTGCTTCTGCATAACCTATATGGTTACACCATAGTAAGGCCTGAATTAGATAAGCATACTTGCTGACTAATCATAAGGAAGTATACAGATATTATGAGCAGTTTACACGGTATAAAAACCAATCTTAGTTTCTGAAGAGCTTACAATAGTTAATAGCTCCTCTGGAAGTTCTAAGAATGATTCCTTGAACTTTCCAATTAAGGGCACAGGAGCTTCGACGAGATTTGCAACCTGGAAAACACCATAAACTAATTAGCTTCTTGGTATCATGCGGTAAAGATCATTTCTTGGAACCATTGGTCGAGATCGAGAATATCACTGAAAACACCACATATACCTCATTAAGTAAGTTCTGCGGGACAACAAGGCGCCCATTCACACTCTTAGCTAGTGCATTTGACTTCTCAAGAATGATTTTCTTCCTTTCCTGTAAATTATGGTAACCAATGAAATGACAACATAGATCCATAACTACAAATCTAAATTGAAAGAAATCTGACACCCTGCTGAAAGTTAAAAATATTTTTTTAATAAATAATGGATAGAGAAGAATATATGAAGGACATGCCTCAATCTCAATATTGATTCCAGAATTCCTCATAGCATCTTCATAAGATTCTGCATTCTGTATCTGCCAATATATAGAATACCATAAAGCACACATCTGAAGCATGACATCCAAATATGCTTACAGACGACAATGCAGGGTACATTCTTACAAATAGTGATGCTGAAGCAGTATTGCGAAGTCCACAAGATACATTTCCACTGCATTTTGAAGATGAAACAGATAGTTACTTTATTTATAAATATTTTGCATATTAACATCTTTCTGATATGCCTAACAAATGCAAGAGGGAAATTTGTGCCAACTGAAGCCATAGAAAAGCAAGAGTAGCCAAGTAAACGTACCTTGAGATGCCAGCAAAGGAGAATGGCACAACCAGATCCCCATGTAAGGCCATAACCCAGCGAATCGGCCTGCTAAACATTACCTGCTTATCACAGCAAAAGATAAATAGCAGTAATTTAAACCCGTTGTTTTACAACTGAGCCAAGGCAATATGAACGATAATGTATACAGATATAAGTTACATACTGAAGAGTTCCAACGCATCGACTTTGGGAACGATATTTTAGCCAGTATACCAGGTAAATCTTCTGACAGAACCTATATAATACACAAGGTCCCAAAAAGAAATGTATGCTTAGCAAATAGTTGTATTTTTCCTTCAACGAAAAACTCAGATGCCAATTTAGTGAAGTAGGGGACTTGGAACGCTAAAACTACAAGGTACACCATACGAAAAGTAAGAGGAAAAGTGTGAGCATCCAATAATTTGCTAAGTTAATGGATATACTATGTCTTTCATGAATTTCTCTGTCATGAAAGATGAAAATAACAGTCCCTTAGCATAACAAAAAGAGTAAAGGAAACGAACCTCCAAAGCAAGTCGAGCTGGCTCTGTAACTCGTGCATGGACATATTCTGTCTTCCCTGAAAGAAATACAACAAAAAAAAATATATAAAAATGAAAAGAATTAAACAAAAAAAGTAGAATCACAGCCTAGGAAACAAAGAAAAAGGAAGCAGTCTGAAGTTGGGTAACAAGAAACAGGATCCTGCTAACAGAATTTGCTAATATGGATGCACCCACCAGAAACTTTTCTGTACAATTTTTCCAATGGAACGCCATATCTACGGCTAAAACCATCTGCAGCCTGACAGGGAAGAACGACGAGAAAATTTATATCTACATATCTTTAGGCAGTCAATGCAAGCTACAAAGAAAATAAAGAAACATAGCACAAAACCTAAGGGGCAATGGATAAATGAACCAGATACTATTTCCTTAAATTCCACCACTGTCTACCAAAATACTTTGAATAGTTAATTTAATCTGTGACCAAAAGGACCAAAGGGAAACAAATAAAACCTTTGTAGGATTTCCTTGATCATCAAAAGCTTTAGAAGCAGGGGGTCCTCGAACTTCAACCTCCTCTTCCAGCTGCTTAGAAGACATAGCATCTACTAAAACCTGAAAAAGGAGCCTTCACTTAAAACTCCTTAAAAGAAGACGAAGAAGAATAAACTCCAGAAAAGCTTCAAGGGTGAAATGATTCAATTCAAAAACACAAAACGTTCAGATACATCAAACTTAGTTTTTACATCCTCACATAAGAAAGAAGCCAGCTTTACATAAGCCACATAAGCTAAAATTTTAAAAGTGAACAATAATGCTAAAGAACAAAAAGGAAGTTTGATGTCAACCAGTCCTTTCTCTATAAGATTGGATTCATGATTTGATAGAGTTGACATCAATTAACAATAATATGTACATGTGAAAAGATCATACTAATTACCACTAGCCTGCGAGGTGTGCCAAATGCCTTCACAGCACCATGCCGCAATCTTTGGTTCTCTAGTAATTCTAGCACTAAGACCCTGAGCTGCAATATTAACAAGGACAGTTACTTGATGTCCAATCTATCAAAAGAACACAGGAAACAAGGAAAAACAAGAAGCACATAAAAATAATCTAGGGAGTTTGGGATGTTAAAATGTTGCAGCATGAGTGAGTGATAGAGAGAGAAATTTCAAGTTTCTCCAAATGAAATGAAATTTTACTTGTTCACTAGCATTGATAACATCTTGAGGTGGCATCTCTTCAGTCCCTATCTCGATAATAAACGATCTTGGATCTTCAGGAACCTGTCACGATTGAACACCACATAAACAATAAAAAAGGAAACTATATCTTATTTGAAATTTTCAGAAATGTTTTTATATATCAAAATAGCCAGCTTTTGAGGCGTAAGTAGACCATATAAGCAAGTAATGCTGAAGATAGCGACACCAAAAAATTTCACAAACTAACATCTCACAAGTCACAAGTCACAACTCATCGAGAACTAATCAGCTACAAGGCTCCAATTGTAAATTCTCTAATTAGAAAACAAGCCAACCTTTTCAGCCACTTTTTCCAAAGCAGCTCTGTGACAAACGGGAGGAACTGGTTCGGAGACAACACCAAGAGGATGTCCAAGAGACTCACGTGTCGCTAACCACAGTTGGGCACATTGGCGAGCCAAGCTATTCTTTCAAAGAGGATGCACAGAAGCAAACAATTAACATCATATATATTTTTACAAGTAACGACTTGTTTAAAAGCATTTCCTCTCTGGTTAATCAAGCTTGTTAGATTGCTCAATAATACACTCTAAAAAAACTGGAACAGATCTTACCTGCGCATTCTTCCAAAATAACGAGCACGTTCAGTTACACCAATGAAACCTCTAGCATCTAAAATGTTAAAAGCGTGAGACGTCTTCAGAAGCTGGTCATACCTAGCATGCCCCCAAGCAGCAATTTGTTAAATTCAAGAGGCAGTAGTTAAATATAGAGAAGAAAATTGACGATCGTAAGCATGTGATAAACATACGCAGGGATTGGAAGTCCTAAGGCAAGCAAGGAACGTGCTTCTTCGTCAAAATAATCGAAATGCTTTTGAAGGCGGTCCACGCTAGCATGCTCTAAATAATATGAGCTCATTTCCTTCCTGATATATCCACCCAACTATCAGTCTCAAAACAGGACTAACACACAATAATTTTGATAATGTGTGATGAAAAATCCAAAAAGTATATCAGGCTTTTACTCATTTTCCAAGAAAAGCTCCCCGTAGGTGATTCCATCAGCATATAAGATCTTTTTGAAATGGTCAACTTCCTGCCAGTTAAAACGAAAGTCTAACTTAACCCAAACAAAACGGACCTATAACGGAAAAATGTGTTTTCAACAATAAGGGAGCACAAGACTGACCTGAAGCAACATGATGATGCGCTCAAGCCCATAAGTGATTTCAACAGATACTGGAGACAACGGAAGACTTCCAGCCTAGAAAGAAGCAAACTTCACAATTATATTGTTTTCTAACTACCGAAGCAGAAAATATACTAGCGAACAAAAGATAAAATCTACCCTAAGAAACCTAAAATGCAAATGAAAATTACCTGCTGGAAGTAAGTAAATTGTGTGATTTCCATACCATCCATCCAAATCTCCCAGCCCAACCCCCAAGCACCAAGCACCTGTAAAATCATTCAAATGATCAGACACTGCCACGCTGAGAATATAGTGATAAACTAAAAGAAATGGAAAACCCATAAAACATGGTTTCACACATTACCGGGCTCTCCCAGTTGTCTTCTACAAACCGTATATCGTGTGCAGTCACATCAATACCTATAAAGAACACATAAGAATAGTAAGGGAAGGATTATCCGGTTGAGAGAATTTCCTAATGCACCATAAAGACGACCTCCACATAATCAAACCTTGAGCAAATCAAAATTAACTCTATAAAATCACCAACCGGAACCAGCAGTTCTGGTTGCAATTAGGAAAGGGAGCTATCCTGGTTGCAATTGAGTGTTTCAAGACATGTAAGTGGAAACAAAAGAGAAGGCATTTTCAAATCAGTACCTAAAGCAGAAAGACTGTTGATAAAGAGCTGTTGAGAGTTTCCAGGGTCAGGTTTCAATATGACCTGAAATTGAGTGTGTCTTTGAAGCCTATTTGGGTTCTCTCCATAGCGAGAGTCATCAGGACGTATACTTGGCTCAACATAAGCAACATTCCATGGTTCAGGACCAAGAACCCTCAAAAAGGTACAAGGATTCATGGTGCCAGCTCCGACCTCAGTGTTACTTGGTTGCATAACGGCACATCCGACGGAAGCCCAATATTCCTTCAATTTCATCACAGTTCAATTCAATTCAACGAAATTTGAAAGTAGAGAATTGGAGATTGAAGGAGATGAGTGAGAATCGAACGAACCTGGAGACGCTGAATCGCTTGTTGGAATGTAGGAACAGACGCAGCGCGGGTGACATCATCGTCGGGCTTACGATAGGATTGGTGATGAACAGCGGCGGAGGAAACGGCGGAGGTACGGTGAAATCGGCGGCGGGAGAGAAAAGGGGAATGAGAAAGAGAGCGAGGGAGGAGGAAGAAGCGAGGAGAGGCGTGAGGACGAAGGAAAGAGACGATAAGAGGAAGAGAAAGATGGAGGATGGCCATGAGTGTGACCAGACTCTTTGTAGAAGAGAGTCAATGTGTAGTGGTGGATTTTGGAAGACGAGAGAGAGAGAGAGAGGTTTTGTGTTATCCTCTGTTTTTTTTTTTTTTTTTTTTTCTCTCGAGTTCGCGGTTCGACGGTTCGACCTAAACTAGATGAATTTTTTTAGATGATTAGTCTAAAATTCAATAAGCAACAACAACAAAAACTTAGTAAGCTATAATAATATATCTAACTTTTAAATAATTATATAAATAATTTCAGATAAAAAATCAAGTAATGGTGAATAACAACAGTTGAATATAGAGAAGTATTTCAACTATTCGTGATTAATTATCGAATAGACTCGGATCATTCAGATAGTAAACCGAGTACAAGTAACTCGTATCGTAAAATTACTAAAAGATTGGGTAGAGATCAAAATTTGGATCCGAATATTTATTTAGACCATGTTAATCTTTTCTGTGTTATTCCAATTTTCACGGATGTTCGAAAGTACATAATACAATAACATGCATACACCAAACCAAATCATATAGTTACCAAAGAGAGTTAACATGAAAGTCAATTGGTTTTTGTAAAGAAACCATCGAACCAATAAAGCCTATTTGTCTTCAGCCTCATGCTAGCTATATGAGGGGTAACAACAGAGAACATTAGATTATTCTTTTATAGAATATTTTGATGCTAACTTTTTTGCCATAAACTGTTTTTAAGATGTTTATTTAAGAATTGTCAACTTAATTTCTTCGATCAAACAATAGTACTTTTCAAATGTATTTTGAGATCGTTGACTATGATAGACACGAAGCTCGGACGCAGAATTCGATCGGTAAACTCATGTTTCCACGTAAACAAGTTGGAGAAAAAACATGTAGATTGACTCTGAAGGAGTACGTAGATACTGAACAACCATCATGGAGAGAAATCTGAGCTGTTTCTCTGCAAGCCAAACCAAATTTAACATATATATATAGTAAGGTCATATATATGCTCTCTACACATAGTATCTCACCTCTAGATCGAGATCCATCCATGAGGTGTCTTCCCGTTGAGCTCAATGATGATGTATTCATGTAATATATTGATCGAGTATAGTTCATGGAATCATGGATCTTTTTGCTGGGACGTAGCCATCCATTGATTGTCAAAAGATAAATGCTCAATGCATTGCTAAATATGTTAATAAAAGAACGCAAACGTATCGAAAAAGCGAATCAAAATTTAAGTAAACTTATGAACACAAATAGATTTTTCGGAATAGTAACAGTGAACTAAATAAAATGATATTTACATGAAAACTTACTATTAACTCATCAGTTTCATGAAATCAAGGATCATGGAGGACCATGATCGATAGTAAAGGCAACTTACTATTACGGTATAGTTACGAGATGGACAGAAACAAATAGGAAAATATTGATTTATTTTTTATATGCATACACATATGGATCTTGATTTTTGATCTGATTACAAAATTACAGATATCAACATTGAAATTCCCCCAAATAGCATATATCTATCTAGTAATAGTATTATACAAATTAAAAGAAAATGAAACTCAATCTGGCGGTCACATGTCAGCTAACTTTTTGAACAATGTTCATTAAATTAACAATCTCAAAGATTTTAGATTGAAATACAAATCTTCTCTCTGTGGTACATTTTCTTGAAAAATGGGAAAATCAAGAAAGTATCGAAAATGTACAAAATAAAATGAATCAAAGTTTGCCATGATCTTGAAACAATAATCGAGAGGGATCAGATCGTCATGATACGATTTCCCTCATCCAAAATTGATTTTATTTCCCTTCCCAAATATATCATATGATTTCACCACTCACCATTATTTGACTATTCTCAACCAAAAAATATAAAAAAACTTTATGACTTTGATTTTATTTCATTTGAATTTTAGCCAAATTTTGAATATATGACTTTTTTAGAAGAAAACAGAATAAACAAATAATAACCCACGCGCTATCAGACAGACAAAATCCCACAGATATGCAAAGATCTCTCAGAATCCTCTCCCATATCATATATTTTCTCTTTTCCCTCTCTTTCTTTCTTCCTTATAAATCCATTTTATCTCCTCTTTAATCACTCATCTCTCTTCAAAACCAAATCCTCAAAGCAGTTGATTCTTTCTCTCCCACAAGTCATCAAGATCCTACTCTTCTTGATATGGCTGAGGTTTTGCGTCCGGAGATGTTAGATATCTCTAACGACACTTCTTCTTTAGCATCACCGGAGCTTCTTCATGTTCTTGCCGTTGATGATAGCATGGTTGATCGGAAGTTCATCGAACGGTTGCTTAGAGTCTCTTCTTGTAAAGGTAAGGTGTTGTTTGTTGATTTTTCATCGTTTTTGTCGAATCTGTTTTGAGTTTAAGAATCTGACATTAGTTTTTGTTTTGTCTCAGTTACTGTTGTCGATAGTGCGACAAGAGCTTTACAATATCTTGGATTAGATGGAGAGAATAGTTCGGTTGGATTTGAGGTAATAAATCTGATCATAGTGTTAAAATATTTATGAGAGAATCCATTCAAATTTGGTGTTAAAGATTTTTGGTTTTGAAAATTTTTTTAGGATCTGAAGATTAATTTGATAATGACGGATTACTCTATGCCTGGGATGACTGGATATGAACTACTGAAGAAGATCAAAGTAAGTTTTGTTGATGATTCAGTTGATTTGACAAAATAAAAATGAAAGTTTTGATCTAATCTTGTTTATGGAATTTTTTATAGGAATCATCAGCTTTCAGAGAAATACCAGTGGTGATTATGTCTTCAGAGAACATCTTGCCTCGTATCGATAGGTATATATTTTACTATGATAATCTTAATTATGATCCTTAATTCTTGCTTAGGTCAAGATTATGTAGGACTAAAATTTACCAGATATAGTAAACTTGATGGATTTTATGCATTTATTACTTCAGGAGATGCTGACGATTAGATTTAGAGGGTTTTGTTAAGGAAACTTTTTTAAAGTAATCACACTAATTTAGGATTTGTGAAAAAGGATACCGTTAAAGGATATGTATTGACTAAATTAAATTGTTGTATAATCATAAGATTTTGTTATGATAAAAAGTTATTATATATATAATTACATGGGGTTAACTTTGGTGGTGGTTGTATATTGGATCAAGCTGAGATTTGGTGTTTATTTTTAGTGGGTCCTTAAATGATTTTTAATATGGATCTTAGGAATACTAATAATATAAAATTGTTTCTTGTGGCCAAAAGAATAATCCTTCTTAAGTTAAGCAAGATCTTCTTGAGATTTGATTCTATAGTAGCCGGTGACATGTTAGGCCCTCCAAAACTTTATATTATATGTTTTAATTGCATAATCTTAGGTAGGGTCATTTATAAATCCCAATCCTCGTGATAGACACCTCACATGCTTTTGCTTATTACTAAGGAACCAAACCCTCTTTACCAAATTATGTTATCATATATGAGCTGGCCATTTTCTACATCCAAAGTTATCAACTTTATATAATTGGATCACTAATATTTGATTATTTTTTTTGGTTCAGATGTCTTGAAGAAGGAGCTGAAGATTTCTTATTGAAGCCTGTGAAATTAGCTGATGTGAAGAGATTAAGAGATTCTTTAATGAAAGCTGAAGAAAGAGCTTTTAAGAATATGATGCACAAGAGAGAGCTCGAAGCTAATGATATCTACTCGCAGCTAAAACGTGCAAAGATCTGAGTTTATCATATTCCACGATATGATCTTTAGAAGCTCAAAGATTCACACACATGCATGTCCTGATTCTTCCGGCTTAAATTTTTTGAGACATTACAACGTTTTTGCTGATAGAACGAGTAAGGACTAAAGAGTGAAAAAGATGGGTTTTCTTAAAATAGAAATGTAAATTGTAGACTTGGATTCATTAGAGAGGAGGAGATTACATTTTTTTTCTTTACATGAGAGATATGTAAAATGGTGTTTTTATTTTGGAAGTTTATTAGTAAACGACTCTTCTTTTCGCCTTCACTTGCGTGGAAATAGCATTGTTCATATATGAAAAACTCCCATTGTTTTTATAGTTATCAAAAGAACTTAAATAATGATTTAGGAATGGATTAGTACCGTTCATTACACAAAGACAATTAGCTAAATTTTTTATCAACTTAAAATAAAGCTGTCAACATGAATAGAGTCCAGCGAGATAAGTTAGTTATTTAAAACGTTGGACCACTTTGTATGGCTTTTCTTAGAAATTTCCCCAAGTTGGGTTTTTTAATAAGACCAAGAAATTCCTAGTCTCCTAGACTTATCTAAAAGCAAAGACTTATAAAAATCCAGATGGTTATGAAATTCGGTTTTCGCAAACCAAACAAAATTTATTACAAATGATCGATACAAATATTGGTTCATAATTTTTCTCTACGAAAATTTTAAATGTAACTTATTCAGTTATATATTTTATTTTATATAAAACGAAACCGAATTGAAACGGAAAAACTAAATAAAATTATATAGTCGAAATAGAACCGAACCGCATGAAATTTGATTACAGTCCGGTTCATGTAACTCATAGATAGATCAAGCAAGTTAAAAGTCGAATGGGACGCGTCTTGCTGAACGCAAAAACGGATCAGGCAAGTAATTAAATCCGGTTTATCTTCAGAAATCGAACCGGTTTGATATCTGGAGGATTATCTGGTTTACTTCAGGATAAGATTTATAAGAAAAATAGAGTTAAAGTAGAGTTCTTTAACTCCAAGAGAACAAATTTCCTCATTCATAAAACAAATTGTTTTTTTTTTTTTTTTTTTTTTTTTTTTTTCATAAACAAATTGTTTTCCGACAAAAAAGTGAATATCACTGAGTTACTGCGAAATCCCAAACGATAGTGACGTCTCAAACCAAAAGATGGGTCTATATTAAAGAGACGAAGACTCCAAAGTCAAGCTACAAAATTTCCAAGCAAGAAATCATTCATAAGATTTACACAGAGATTAGTTCAAAAAAAAAAAAAAAAAAGATTTACACAGAGAAAACTTTCCGACCAAATGTGAATGTTTATGTCTTTATGAAAGTTTCTGCGCAACTCCAGTCATGTCGGATGTACTAACCAATGTAAAAACGACACGTGGACGGCTAAGATTTCTGGCCCTTCTTCAAGGGTCTCCAATAGCCAAAGAGTCAACTCAGAAAAAAAAACCATTTTTTGAATTGAAATGGTCTCAAGATGGGGTATTTTGGGTAATTAGTCCTGTCTACATCTTTCCATAAATTAACAGAGGAAGAAGACTAAGAAGCAAAGACGACTTAAAAGAAAAACTAGAAGAAAGTCCACAAAAGAAAAGAGATTAGATAGATCAATGGCGTTTGAAGCTCTTACCGGAATCAATGGTGATCTAATCACCGCATCATGGATGGCCTCGAAGAAAGCTTACCAAACCGACCGCTATCACAAGGAAGAAGCAGGGACAGTCGTAATCTTCGCTTTCCGACCATCTTTTGCGGCCGAAGATTTGTTTGCTCCGGCTAATATATCTTCCTTTGGAGAAATTAAGATGAAGCGTGTTCAGTTTCCTTGTATGAGGAAAATCGGTAAAGGTGATGAAGCTACTGTTAACGAAGCTTTCCTCAGGAATCTTGAAGTTATCATTGATCCAAGAACTTCATTTTTTGCTTCTGTAAGAAGATATTCTTCAACTTTTTCGCCTATTAATGGAAACATCGGAAAATTTTGGTTTTGTTTTTAGTCTCTTAAGCTTTACTTTCTCAGGTGGAAATGGCTATCAGCAGCAGAAAACAGATAGTGTTCACAGGACATTCCTCTGGAGGTGCAACTGCAATCTTAGCAACAGTTTGGTATTTGGAGAAATACTTCATACGCAATCCGAATGTTTACCCTGAGCCTCGTTGTGTGACATTTGGAGCTCCTTTGGTTGGTGACTCTATCTTCAGTCACGCACTTGGGAGAGAAAATTGGAGCCGGTTCTTTGTGAACTTTGTCACAAGATTCGATATTGTCCCCCGGATTATGCTTGCTCGAAAGGCATCAATAGAGCAAACTTTGCCTCATGTTCTTGGCCAATTGGATCCAACAAATCCTTCCTTCCAAGAGAGTGACCAGAGAATAACAGAGTTTTACACAACGGTGATGCGAGACACATCAACTGTTGCAAACCAAGCTTTCTGTGAATTGACTGGAAGCGCAGAGGCATTTTTAGAAACTCTTTCTAGTTTCCTTGAGCTAAGTCCTTATAGACCCGCCGGCACTTTCGTTTTTTCTACAGATAATAGATTGGTTGCAGTGAACAACTCGGACGCCATTCTTCAAATGCTTTTTTACACTTCTCAAGCTAGAGATGAACAAGAATGGTCTCTCATTCCATTTCGAAGTATCAGAGATCATCATAGCTATGAGGAACTGGTACAGTCAATGGGAATGAAGTTGTTTAATCATTTGGATCTGCATCAATTTCTTTTGGATGGACAAAACTCGATCGGGTCTTGGCTCAATGAACTTGGAGTGGTAAATTCTCTCTCTCTTTTCATATTGTGTAGCTCCATTTTCTTGCATGTTTCTGCAATCATTTAACCATCGGAGTGTTTCCTTTTTTGCAGAGCACAAGAGGCAGACAGTACGTTCTTGCTGCATTAGAGGAAGAGAAGAAACGAGTAGAAAATCAGAAGAAGATTGAAAACAAATGGCCTCAAATAGTAAAGGAACTATCATGGATAGAAAATGAATACAAGCCAAAGTGTCAAGCTCATAAAAACGGGTATTACGATTCCTTCAAAGTTTCAAATGAAGAGAATGACTTCAAAGCAAACGTTAAGAGAGCTCAGTTAGCCGGTATTTTTGACGAGGTGCTCGGTTTATCGAAGAAAGGTCAACTTCCAGATGAGTTCGAGGGGGGCAGAGATTGGATCGAGTTAGCAACTCGATACCGCAGATTAATTGAGCCTCTTGATATTGCAAACTACCATCGACATTTAAAGAACGAAGACACAGGGCCGTACATGAAAAGAGGAAGACCAAACCGCTACATATACGCTCAGAGAGGGTACGAACATATAATATTGAAGCCACAAGGAAGGATTGCAGAAGATGTCTTTTGGAACAAGGTAAATGGTCTTAACTTAGGGTTAAAGCAAGAAATTCAAGAGATTCTAAAGAACTCGGGATCCGAATGCGGATCATGCTTTTGGGCAGAGGTTGAAGAACTCAAGGGAAAGCCATACGAGGAAGTTGAGGTAAGAGTTAAGACATTAGAAGGGATGCTTGGAGGATGGATCACAGCCGGGGAGGTAGATGATAAGGAAATATTTCTGGAGGGTTCAACGTTTCGAAAGTGGTGGATTACGCTTCCCCTCAATCACAAATTGCATTCTCCGCTGCGAGAGCATATGATGGATGAGATAAGAGCTACCTGAACCTTAAGTGGTGGAGTATTTAAGCTATTGAAACACTTGCTTCTTAATTTGTACAATAAGAAATGTCTATCATTCTTGTTTCCACTTCACGATGATCTTAGAATAAGAAACATGTTGTATGATCATTGTAAAGTAATGTAATAGCTCTCTATTCTAAAGTCAAATTTGGTTTCCACTTTACAATGATCTTAGAATATATACATTACTATACTAAAGCCTAAAGCCATGTCAAATAGCATGAACCAGTAACAAACAACCTTCCTTAGCAATTAGCATTGAAAGAAGGAAATGCACAGTGAAAGAGGACCAGAATGTCATCAGAATGGTGCCTGAGGTTTCTCAAACTGTTTTAAACATTACTAACCTCTAAACCTCCAAACAAGTGGCTATGCAAACGCTCCAGGTTCTAGCTACTACATAACCAAAGAAGAAAACGATTAAAACACAACAAGTAATTTGAAACTTGTCTCATGATGGGGTATTTTGGGTAATTACTCCTGTCTACATCTTCCTATTAAACTAACAGAGTAGGAGGACTAAGAAGCAGGACGACTCAAAAGAAAAGAGAGAAGAAAGTCAACAAAAGAAAAGAGATTAGACAGATCAAATGGCGTTTGAAGCTCTTACCGGAGTCAACGGTGATCTAATCACCATATCATGGATGGCGTCGAAGGGAGCTAACCAAACGGAGCACTATCTCAAAGAAGAAGTAGGGGGAATCATTTTTTTCGCCTTCGCACCATCTTTCTCGGCGGAAGATTTGTTCGCTACGGCGAATACATCTCCCTTTGGAGAAATAAAGATGAAGCGTAATCAATTTCCTTGTATGAGAAGCATCGGCAACAATGTTGACGCTACTGTTAACGAAGCTTTCCTCAAGAATCTTGAAGTTATCATTGGTCCAAGAACCTCATTTTATGCTTCTGTAAGTAAAAAAAAGCTTCTTAAAAATGCGTTTTAATCGGAAAACATCAGAATAATTTGTGTCTGAAACTTACTTGCATCAGGTGCAAAGCGCGGTTGAAAGAGAACAACAGATTGTGTTCACAGGACATTCTTTAGGAGGCGCAACTGCAATTTTAGCAACAGTTTGGTATTTGGAGACATACTTCATACGCAATCCAAATGTCCCTGAGCCTCGTTGTGTGACATTTGGAGCTCCTCTTGTTGGTGACTATATCTTCAAACACGCGCTTGGGAGAGAGAATTGGAGCCGGTTTTTCGTAAACTTTGTTACAAGATTTGATATTGTCCCTCGGATTATGCTTGCTCGCAAGGCATCGATAGAGAAAATCCTGCCTCATGTTCTTGGCCAATTGGATCCTAGAAGAGCTTCGATCCAAGAGAGCGACCAGATAATAACAGAGTTTTACACAACGGTGATGCGAGACACATATACTGTTGCTTCCAAAGCTGTCTGTCAGTTGATTGGAAACGGAGAAGCGTTTTTAGAAACTCTTTCTAGTTTTCTTGAGCTAAGTCCTTATAGACCAGTAGGCACTTTTGTCTTCTCTACACAGAAAAGATTGGTTGTAGTGAACAACTCAGACGCCATTCTTCAAATGTTGTTATACACTTGTCAGTCCAACGACGAACAAGAATTGTCTCTCATTCCATTTCTAAGCATTAGAGATCACCATGGCTATGAGGAACTGGTACAATCAATTGGTATTAAGTTGCTTAATCATTTGGATCTGCATAATCCGCCTTTGGATGGAGAAAACTCAATAGGCTCCGCTCTCAACGACCTTGGAATGGTAAATCTTTCTCTTTTTTCAATTTGTGCAGCTCCATTAGCTCCATCCTTCTTCATGTTTCCTTTTTTGCAGAGCACAAGAGGCAGACAGTGCATTCATGCTGCATTAGAGGCTGAGAAGCAACGAGTAGAAAATCAGAAGAATATAGAAACCAAAAGAGATAAAATAGTAGAAAGACTAACTTGGATAGTGGAGAAATACAAGCCTAAGTGTCAAACTCATAAAAATGGGTATTACGATTCCTTCAAAGATTCAAAGGAAGAGAATGACTTCAAAGCAAACGTCACGAGAGTGGAGTTAGCAGGTATTTTCGACGAGGTGCTTGGTTTAGTGAAAAAAGGTCAGCTTCCAGATGGATTCGAGGGGAGCGGAGACTTGATCAATTTAGCAACTCAATACCGCAGATTAATTGAACCTCTTGATATTTCAAACTACTATCGGCATTTAAAGAACGAAGACACAGGGCCGTACATGTTACACGGAAGACCAAGCCGCTACATATACGCTCAGAGAGGGTACGAACATAGAATATTAAAGCCAAAAGGAATGATTGCAGAAGATGTGTTTTGGAACAAGGTAAATGATCTTAACTTAGGGTTAAAGCAAGAAATTCAAGAGAATCTAAAGATATCGGGATCCAAGTGCGGATCATGCTTTTGGGCTGAGGTCGAAGAACTCAAGGGAAAGCCATACGAGGAAGTTGAGGTAAGAGTTAAGACATTACAAGGGATGCTTGAAGGATGGATCGGAGACGGGGAAGTAGATGATAAGGAAATATTTCTGGAGGGTTCAACATTTCGAAAGTGGTGGAATACACTTCCCGACAATCACAAACTTCATTCTCCGCTGTATCTGCGAGGGCGTCTGATGGATGAAACAAGAGCTACATGAACCTTAAATGGTCGATTATTTAAGCTATTGAAACACTTGCTTCTTAATTTGTGCAATAAGAAATGTTTATCAATCTTGTTTCCACTTCACGATGATCTTAGAATAAGAAACATGTTGTATGATCATTGTGAAGTAATGTAATAGCTCTCTATTCTAAAGTCAAATTTGGTTTCCACTTTACAATGATCTTAGAATATAAAAATTACTCTAAAGCCTAAAGCCATCTCAAATAGTATGAACCAGTAACAAACAACCTTCCTTAGCGTTGACAAAAGGAAATACACAGTGAAAGAGGACCACAATGTCATCAGAATATAGCCTGAGGTTACTCAAATTGTTTAAAAATTACTAACCTCCAAACATCAAAACAATTGGCTGTGCAAACGCTCCAAATTCTACCTACTACATAACCAAAGAAGAAAACGATTAACAAACAATAAGTAATTTGAACTTGCCCTATGCCCCTCTGTATTGCTAGTTAGCTCGATATGATAGTTTGACTCAGGTATGTTTCCTAAACACAAGTAAATAAACAAGTAATCACATTACCAAGAAGTTCCTGTTAGATTTGCATTCCACCAGAATCCTGCATCAATATAATCAACTCAAGGATACATACCATATAGCTAAGGAGGAAGTAGATCAATCACAAGAACATCAGAGCATAGAAATAATCCTAAACTCTTTCGCTGTTTAGTTCAGCCGGATGTCAATTTTACATATAACCAAACTTGACTATCAATCTGCTGTATTCAGTCGCTCAACAAAGAATCAAGTAGAATGATATAACATCTATGGTCGACCTTAAAATAACAGAAGGTATAAAATGATACCTTTAGAATATTACAGATAAGCAAGGTTCTCGCAGGCTATGAGAAAGAGACTTATTGCAACTTTTTATGTATTTGAAATTCGTGTACCACCTTATGTACTCACACACCACTCTACATAACCACCACCACCACCACATGTTTCAGACGAAGAAGAGTCATTGACATAGAAGAACATAGAACATAGTTCTCAGTTGCCAAAAGACAAATCCCTATACCCATATCTAAAGAGTTTTAAAGACAGGTGAAAAACATAGAACATGCGAGGAAAACAAAGAAGAAGAGAGAAAACAAACAGACACAGGCCGCGCAAAGCCACATCCTTTCTTCATGACCTGCAAAACATGCTAGACGAACGAGCAAGCCGAATAGTCAGACCACCACCTTGAACACTAGCCTCAACCTTGATTGTGTTCCTTTCATATGGCTTTCTGCAACCAGGACAACGCCCATCTCCATCGCATATCGTCTTGTGGCAGAAAAGGCAAAGCCGGAATCCACAAGGACATGGCAAGAAATTTGAATCTGTCAAGTCAAGATCTTCGTAGCAAATAGGGCACGAAGATGGCACTGTCACAGAATTAAAATGCAAATTCATGACCGGAAAACTACGCTGCTTTTCCAAATTAGGCAGACCCTGAGGACGGAGCTTATCGTCTGGCCTCCACGCCTGGTTACTCTTCTGCTTCCTTGACATTGTTCTCGGACAATCCGCCTTTGCAACCACATCAGATCCACTGATTAAATCCCTCGGATAAGCCAATTGCTTGATATCCCCATGCTCTTCGCAGGACTCAGGAGGATTCTGTTTCTCATGCTTTTCATCATCAGCAGCTAAAGCATCAGCGATAGCCTCCCAATCATCCAAACACCCATCATCATCAGCATCTTCCTCCTCTGTTATATTACCAGAGCAAGAGCCACCACTTCCACTGCTACTGCTGCTGCTAAAATTAGGAATTGAATTCATGCCACTAAGAATGCTGTTAGGGCTATTAGAAAGTGACTCAATAAAGCTCTCATGACGATGTGTTCCATTGTTATCCTCTTCTCTACGCTGCCCATCTAAATTCTCCACCAGACGATCTCTCTGATCAGGTTTTTCACTCCCAATTCTTCGATTGGAATCCATTTCCTCTTTATCCCCTTTATTAATCATCGCAACTAATAACAAAAACCCAAATCAATATAAACAAATTCCAAGAACCAAATCATGTAAAGATAGATCTTTTATAATGATCATTACCTTGAGAAAGCCATTGCTCACGACGAAGACCTAGCTTGCTCTGTTTCAATTTGGCCGACCTGTTCGTCTGCAAACCCAAAAATACAAATCAAAGAGTGAAATCAAAAGAATTGAAATTTGAAGAGAGAAATGAGATTTGAGGAAGATTGAAAACAAACCCTTTTCTTTTTTCCGAAATCCCTCGCGCTTGGAGCTGAAGTAGCAGAAGCGTTGGTGATCGAATCAGAAATCATGGTGGTTGCAGATGATTCCGAAGCGCAACAAAATCAATGATAAAGAAAATTCGAAATCACAAAATGAAGATTTCTCAAAAACCCTAATTCAGATTTGTCGCGAGAGAGAAGAAGAAGAGAGAAACGTGCGATTTTTATTTTTTGCTTTGTTTGTTGTGTCTGTGAGAGAAAACGAGAGAGAGAGAGATAAAATAAGGGGATAACGGAAACTCCTCGTCTCCGCACAGAACTTTCCTCGTGACTAAAGTACCCTTGGTTTTGACTTTTGCACACGCTCGAATGTAGGGGTGTTTCTGTAATTTTGATATATCCACACGTGTGAGAAACTTCTGTTCATTTAAAAACGGTGGCGTACGGAGGACTACACGTGAGGAAAGTTCATATGATTCACAAATCAGATCAGAGCTTCTAGATCAATCAGATGGGTTTCTTCTGGTTACAAACTTACATTTTACTGAAAAAAATAAAAGATTTAGAAAAAATCGAAACCACAAAACAAAGTTTGTGTTTCTTTTTTTTTTTCTATGAGTCGAGCAAACAAGTTTTCCCTATATTTTGATGGCGTGAAGCATATAGTGTAACAAGAACATCAAAACAATATTTTTTTTTTTTGTTAAAGACATCAAAACAAAACAAGAAACTAAACACGTAAAAACGTAAATTAGCTTATTAAATTTGATATTAGGATCTTTTACAAATGAAAAAAAAAAAAATAGGAGCTAGGCAACTGCAGATGAGAGTTGAACTACATTTAGGTAAGTTTGTAACTAAGTCATGATTAATTAATACTCCATCCATTTCATAATATAAGAATGTATCAAATGTCAGGTGGTGTTCTGAAGAGGAAAGAACCGGAAGGAGGATGGGATGGATATAGGCAATCCTCATGGCAATAACAATAGCTTAGAATTTCAGTAGGCCACATGAGCTTGTAAGCCCTCGAAATCCACAAACTTTAGTGTTTCATGACCTCTCCTTTTTTTTTTCCTCCTCTATTACTAATGTTTCAATTACATTTTTACTCTGCTAGTTACTAAGAGTGATTGTGATGCCACAAGGCTTCATTGGCTGGCCTGCTCTGTTCAAGATGAGGAATGGGTGAGTCAATTTGCGACTTAACAGTGGTCTCAACCTTTTTAAGAACACATACCTGAACTCTTAGTTTCACCATCATGTAGATCTTCCAAAAACAGTCCCAAATTCACCGGAGTGGCCATTCTCTTTCATCAACAAGGTTCTCAGCGAGAGACCCGCATCACCTCCTCCCCACAAAGAGTTTTAAAAGGTGAAACACACTTTTTGGTCATTTTTCATGCATGTGTATCTCTATACACCGGCACAAAAGACTAGAGATAAAACGAATGTTGGTGGCATGGCTTTTGAGTGTGTTCAAAATTATGGTAAAAAAGTCTTTGGCATTGTGGCGGGATCCCGCATTGTGGCTTTACAAATATGTTCCGCGCTAGGTGATGGGGTTGTATTATAGACACAACAAGGTTAGTTACTTCTTTTTTTCTTTCTTTTTTCAGCTTGTAGATTTATTACATCTTGTCTTTTGCTGGTGCTGTTTGAAATTTACATGCTTCTTCCTTGCACGCTTTTGTCTTTTATTCTCGGATTCATGATAGGGCCAAATAAATTCAAATTTGGGAATAAGGAGGGTCCAACATTTTTCGAAAGAAATAAGTGTTAGTCACGTGAGCTACAAAAATTTGGTTCACCACCAAGCTCTTCTTCTCTATAGTCTCAACGAGTCTTTGGCTAAAACAGTTCTATAAGGGTCAAACCAAATCGAAATAAACAAACATCAGGTTTACATGTACAAACAAAATCGAAGAAGCTACTAGTTGAGGCTTCATCTCTGCCAAATCTATGTATATTCCGACTTATCACAACCACAAAACTGGGCAAATAGAAAAAAAGAAAGGAAGTGAACAATCATCAGATGGAGTTGAGTCATCATCAATGCTTCCCACACAGAATGTTTCTGCAAAATAGAGAAGCCCATCTACAATCGTTAATGGCTTTGAGACTTCACATAAACATAAAAAAACTGTATGAAGCTAAAGGTTGCATAACCAAATTCCAGTGATTGTAATTTTACATAATATCTTAGTTATATATAAAGAGACTCTAAAGGGAAGATTATTTCAACTTACGAGAGACATCCATTGCGCGGCTTTTGCTTCTTCTTCTTCTCCTTTTGTTTCACTGCTGGTTTAATTACTACTTTGATAGCAGCATCAAATACGGCTTTCACATTCTGCAAAAACCATAAACCAAAGAAAAGCATATATAGATAATATATAGTTTGCGAGTAAAGAGTAACCTAACACTAATGACTCCTATGTTTCCTAACACACATGTACAAGTGTACCTGTTGAGTTTTTGAGCTACATTCAATGTAATACGTCGCTCCGATATGCTTGCGGAGTTCCTCTCCCTGGCACACATGAATGATTATATCGGATAAAACCTAGAGGAAGAGAGAGTCTAGAAAATGTCACAACATTGCTTTTGGTTTCTAAAGGTTGAAAAATCACACCTGTGATGTAGTTACGGGGGACAGTCCAGGATGATCAGACAAATAATGTTTATCTTCACGAAGATCTATATAACAAAACATTGTAAGAAACATATATATGTGTGATTCTGAAGCACTTGACAAGGAAATATGTTGGTTTCACTCTTATTGCTATCTTACCCATTTTGGTACCAACAAGCACAATGGGGACTCCTGGTGCAAAGTGTTGGAGTTCAGGGATCCACTGACCAAAATAAACACTTGACAAGCATCAGAAATCACATTTCATTCTATGTTTTCCCAATAAGATAGAAGGAATCCAAATTTCACAAACCTTTTTAAACACATTCTCGTAGCTAGCTCGGCTGATCAATGAGAAAGCCAACACAAAAACATCTGCTCCTCTGTAACTTAAAGGCCTTAGTCTATTATAGTCTTCTTGCCCTGCAAACATATACAAAACTCTTGACAATCACCAATCTTCAACACTCACTATAAATTTCTCTATCTAAGAATCTCAAATCGAAAGCAAACTTTCTAGTTGTTAGAAATGGTGATGATGATTAGAACTACATAAACAATAGTGACTTGGTTATTCTAAGAAATTCAAGAGAGAGATGCAGAAATGTTACTTACCGGCAGTGTCCCAAAGACCTAAGTTCACAGTGATGCCTTCAACGACAACATTAGCACTAAAGTTGTCAAAAACTGTTGGTATGTAGTCCTGATACAATTCATCAATCAAATCTTTAACTTCACGAGAACAACAAATGCACAATAGATATAGCAATAAAGTAAGAAACACTGGCGAATCAAAAAAGCCACTAACTTTACAATGTAAGATTTTCAAAAGCTAAAAAAAGGGATCTTTTATATACAATCCCTAAAAAAGGAGCTAACTTTGATATACCATGATAGAATTCTCGGTGAACGAGCTGAAATTTGACAGACCCACAAGGATTTATAACTAAAAGTAACAAAATTGGAGATGCCCCGAAGAACAATCGGCGAAATTGTGATTTACTTGATCAAAATTTCTTCAACTTACAGTAGGGAATTTGTTGCTAGTGTAGCAGATGAGCATACAAGTTTTTCCAACGGCACCATCTCCAACAGTCACACATTTGATGAATTTTGAAGCACTCGAAGCCATTCTAACTCAAAAGAAAGCAAATAACTTCAACGCACAAAAACCAGAGAGAGTGAGAAAGAGAGAGAAGTAATTGAGAGATAAATGAAGACTATGAAGTGATTAACATGAGCAAGTGTAATAAACTTATGATTAAAAGACTCATATCTCTCTTTTTCTCTTTCTTTCAATATTTTCAAAGTTTCAATTTTGTCTCTCTCTTGTTTTTTGGTTTGAACTTTGAAGACTGAAGAGAGGGAAAGAATAGGGGGCTCACATGATCTATCCACATGGTGGCTTTTCTAAACCTTTTCTATCATTTTATGGCTTTTGTAAAATGTATTAAAAGATACTAAAAAGCAAAGCTAATCACATGTTTAAGAGCGTTATTTCTTTTTTCTCTTGGTCCTTTGTTTTATTTAGCAATTATTTGAAAAGATATTTGTTATATTTTGCCATCTTTTCTTTTAAAGATTCTGTCATTACCAATCATTTTCGTTTAGAAGATTCTGTCATCACCGATTAATAGTATAGATTATATAAATAAATACATGTTTAGGAATTTGTGGGTTCGATAAAAGTAGTTACAAAATACAGGGCTGACAACAAAAAAAGATTACAAAATATAATTGACCCAAAAGGCCCGTGTCTTTGGCCCTCATCAACTAAAATTTAGTCCAATTGGTTAGGAGATTGGAAGCATTAGTCCAAGAAACCCTAATCGTTTACCTTCGCCGGAGAGACTAAAGAATAGAGATCCTACCAAAACGCCAAGAAAAGAGAAATAGTAACATCTCTCTGGTTTAAATTTGTTTTTGACAACAAATTAATGAATGGATTTAAAATACGTAAGAGTCTTGGAGTGAACCACGGCGTGTTCACAGACCTGCGCCTCGTAGGTCTTGCTACCTCCGTCGTCTCCGTCACTGACATCCAGCAGTAGCTGGTAATTAATGCCGCAGACGACCTGCATGTTGCCGGAAACAACCGTCTGAAACTTGAGTGACGAATTGCTCTGTTTGTTGAACTCGGAGACGGCAAACTTGGCGATGACATCAATGCAAGGGTCCTTAATGTCTTTGATGGGACACCAACCACCATCTATACCTCCCGCCAGCTACTTCATCATCATCTCTATGACCCTCTTCTCATCTATTCCCGTATCCATGTCTTTTTTTGTGTGTTTGTTAGCTTTCTCATTTTCAACCTATTATTAATCGAGGTTTGTCACGCGTTGGCGCAAATCCAAAAAAGTCGGTCAATTACAACAAAACGAAAGAAAGGAAATTAATTAACTATATCATAAAAAGAAAAAACTAATTAAATCATAATTATCCTCTCTCAACTTACACGATAAATAAAACTAGAACAAAAACTATCTTCTAAATTTCAGTTTTTGAAAACAATTGAAATTTGTATAGTAGTTCCTTACGCATTAGAAACAATACAATTAAAGAAGTATCTACCAAAAAAGATTGAAAAAGAAAAAAACATCATTCACTCAACATATTTATTAATGCCCTATCAGCATGAAGTACACATATAAAATGTCTTCCATGAACTTCTGATACAAATTAATCTTGTAAGGCGGGCTAGAAGAAGCTATTTAGATGAACATTACGAGAGGGAATAAGAAAGGGATATATACAATAAATACAGCAAAAGATAACATTACATCAGCTTTGTTTTTCTCTTCTTAAGTATATAAATTAACTACTACTACAAGACGCGCCTTATAATTAAACCCCATAAACGACCAAATATAATAATTCTGTATCATCACGTAGCATCTCCAGGTGGAATCAGAGATAAGGCAAATGATAAGAGAAATGGGAGAACCATCAAATTGAGATAATAAGCTAGTACATAGTAATCTATCTGATGATTTGTTAATAGACAAGACAGGTTTGTTATTTGTTAATGATAGATAGCGGATTTTAATTAAAGGAATACTCTTCATGAAGATGACATGAAAATAAGCTTAAATCCGAAATTGGAATATCTTTCAATTAAAAAACAGGTGCGATAATTCCTAATCATCTTAAGTTCATGATATAGACTATGTTTCTTGGTTAACCTTAGGTTGTACATGAACTCTGTCCGTGTAATCTAATTATTGTTAACTTATATATTGTTGATTTAATTTATGGTCAAATTTTAAGTTTATCACACACATTTCAATGCAGTTATTTACTGAATTAGTTGATCCACTCTTTATATGTGAGACTTGTAACTTTGGGATCAACTAACAAGTTAGGTCATAACATTGTAACAGTTGCACATATAATGTGTGATGAACTTAATAATTAACCAACCGAAAGCAAGATATATATATATATATATATATATATATATATATATATATATATATATATATATATATATATATATATATATATATATATATCTTCTCTTGCCTATTTAGATATCCACCTCCACTTTCTTACGCTTTCAACTTCCATTAAAAGCAATCCAAGAAAAAAAATGAAGCAAGCATTGGTCGTGTACTTGTTAATATCAACGGTTAGGGAACTTGTTCGGGTACCAAACAAGCATCGCAATTCCGCAGCGCCCTCTTGGATCAGCAATCCTTCTCTCGATCCTAATATATCCGCCCTCTCCCCATTGGAGACCATATGAATTCTTCACTATCCAATATTTTATCCCGTTTGGGTCCGTCCCGTACCCGACCAAAGTCATCGCGTGGTTCAAATCCGTTCCATAGTTTTCCGTCATCAGTTATGGATACATTTTGCAGGTAGTGATGACGGAAAATTGTGGAACGGATTTTAACCACGTAATGGCTTTGGTTGGGTACGGGACGGACCCAACCGATATAAAGTATTGGATAGTGAAGAATTCATATGGTCTCCAATGGGGAGAGGGCGGATATATTAGGATCGAGAGAGGGATTGATGATCCAAGAGGGCGCTGCGGAATTGTGATGCTTGCTTGGTACCCGAACAAGTTCCCCAACCATTGAGCTCTTGATCGACAAGTTATTTAAAATCATATTAATAAACAAAATTAATGCCAAATAGGCAATGTTATAAATCTCATGAATAACCAAGTGAGTAGTTTTATCTTTTATGGCGTTGTATACCCCGTAAAATGATTTGACACTCTTTGTGTTATGTGTTCCGATGTCTAGCATACCGTTTTCAACCGTCCCAACTCCCAAGTGAAGTTACATGCTATTGCGGACGTGGGCGTCAGAAGCGAGCCCATTTTGTTTTTTTTTTTTCTCTAACACCCTCGAAATCCGACCCGTTTCACAGAACCGTTGACCCGACCCGACCCGTTTCAAAGAACCGGCTCGTCGTCACACGGTCTCTGGTGACGAAATGGCCACGCGTGACTGCGTTTTATACTGCGCTCTCTTTTGATTTGGTTTCTCTTCCTCTTTTGGTTTTGGCATTGGTGCTTCTGGAGAAGATGAGTGCGGTAGAACCAGACATGGAAGATCTGTTCCAGGAGAAGAAGCGTGTCAGGAATCCTCTCGTTCCTCTCGGTTTGTCTTCTCTTCTTCTTTTGATCTCATTTCAAGAAATTGATTTTGATTTTGGGCTTTCAAATGTTTATAAGGTTACTGATTTTTAGGTTCTCTTTATTGGATTGCTGATTTTAGTTTCTGGGTTTTTATCTACCTGATCCTTAAAACAGTTACTTGTTGCGTTTGATTCACCTTCAGAATTTGGGATCCCAAATGCGATAGGTTCTGAAATGATTAAAAAGTTATGTAATTGAGTTAAAATTGTGGGTTTTTGTTACAAATTTGTGTCGGAAGCAATCGTCGAGAACAAGAAATTCGTTTATGATATATCAGTTTCTCGAATTAGTCTTTATGTTCTCTTGATGAATCTAATCTTTAAAGGTTGTTCCTTTGGCAAATTGTATGAGAATTTTGTAACTTTGGACCTCACAGCTAGCAAATCCATTGCTTTATTTATCTATAAACATTGACAGAGACAACTTGTTTCAATGTGTCAATCAATGACAAAAATTCATGGCGTCCACTATAATGAGATACTACTACTATACTACTGATGCAGTCTTCGTATCTTTCTTCATAGGGATTTGATTTATTGAAGCTTATTACTTTGTTTCTGCTCTCTGAATATGATCCACTGCTGTCTTGGTTAGTACTGTTAAGACATTCGAAGTTGATAACTCCTTGTGAATAACTCTATTGCAGGTGCACTTATGACTGCGGGAGTGCTCACAGCTGGGCTGATTAGTTTCAGAAGAGGCAATTCTCAGTTGGGTCAGGTTTTGATGAGAGCTAGGGTGGTCGTCCAGGGTGCTACAGTCGCTTTAATGGTTGGAACCGCTTATTACTATGGTGATAATCCGTGGAAGAAATGAGCTCCAACTACTTGTTCTTTTTAAACATTTTCATATAATTGAGATGACACTCGGGAAATCTGCGGGCAAAGGTGCGTGTGCTCTCGCTCTGAGTGTAGAAATCTGTGGTCTTGCTAGGATTTATAACTTGTAAGGGCACATTACATGATTTGAATAATTTAAGAACTAAAAATGTCTTTTGTATCTTGATCAATTGATTATATTGATTCGAAGAATTTCTGAGTCTACCATCTTTACTCTTATCTGTCAAAATCTCATTCCTTCATCCGACAATCTATGAGTTATTTATTTGTTTACAGTTATGATTGAGTTTTGACTTCTTGAAAGATCCTTTGTGAAACATGGGACAATGAATCATTACAAAGTATTCACATAGACTCCATTTCCGAATATATAATGGTAAATGAGTGGAAGGGAAGAGATTATGTATTAGAAGGCAAGCTATATGATTTAAGAACATCTAAGTGGAAGACAATGGTGGGCCTAATAGAATTTTGTTTGCCATAAGTGTAGTTTTCCTAATCATAATCTTGTTTTTTCTCCAGCTTATTGCGGTTCTTGAGCTTCTAAATGTGAAATCCTAATCACATTTTATGGTCTTTTTAGCCAATAATGATTATGGTTTAGCTAATAATCATGTCACCAACACATAAAGATGGGACCAATGAGAAGCTTATGGAATGATACACTTTTAAAGCGTGTCTGAATGTGTGACTCTATATTTTACAGTGACTGACGACTGAGCTTAACTCAAAACTGCTTTTTTCTCTTCAAACACCAAAATGTGTAGGTTACTTTTGTCTGAAATCCATGAAACAGAAGCTCTTTCACCTAAATCTTCATTTGCAACAACTATTACTGTTCTGAACCAGAAAGATCCATCTTCAAGCTCTATAGTCTCGGTTTTATGCTTAGTTATCTCGGTTCTTGCTCTTATCATCGTCTTCCTCGGTGTCCTCTACTTAATCTTCAAATTTCTCCGCAAGTCCTCGACTTTATTTCCCATTCCCCATTTCAATCCCAACCCAGATCTCTCTTCTTCCTCCTCTCCTCAGCTCCAGCAACTCTTCTTCCTCCATGACTCTGGTCTAGACCAGACCTCCATCGATGCACTTCCCGTGTTCCTCTATGGTAACGTAACCATGAGTCTGAAAGAGTCTTTCGATTGCGCCGTATGTCTCAATGAGTTCTCTGACGCAGACAAGCTCAGGCTACTCCCAGTCTGTAGCCACGCATTCCATCTTCACTGTATCGACACATGGCTTCTCTCCAACTCTACTTGCCCTCTCTGCAGACGATCACTCTCAACCTCAAACGTCTGCTATAACCATGCTGAGGCTCTTGTCGTCCCCTTGTCCGGGCATCAGCAGGTCGACGAAGGCAAATCCTCCCTTGCTAAAAGAGTCTTTTCTGTTCGTCTTGGGAGATTCAAAAGCACGAACGAAAGTCAAAGTCAACGACATGATGTCAAAGATGAAATTGGTGTAGGAATGCCAAGAAGGTGTTACTCGATGGGCAGGCAACAGTATCTCGAATGCGATCAAGATTTTGTGGTGGCTCTGTCTTCGTCTCCTCGTGAGGGAAATACCGGTAATAAGTAACTGCTCCATTCACGAGGGTGATTCAGTAAAACAAGACTCTGGTGGTTTGGGTCGGCTCTAATGGATTGTAGTAGAAAAGAGAGTATGTCTATGTCGAAGATCTGGTTTTGGTCTGAGAAGAAGAAGAGAGTACTATAGTTCGGTTTATTAAACAAAAATAGGTGGTTTTTTTGTTGCATCTTAGTCTTCCTTGTTACTACAGACATGAAATCGTTAAGGAATAGTTTTTGTGATTAGGTAATGCGAGAAGAAATAATATACACGGATTAATTCCTATTTAGAGTTGTTTATTTAGTTATATTGTCCAATGATATGAAGACTTTGGTATCTCTATTTTGTACATTCGAACTGTGAGCATTGTAGTGAAGTGTTTGTGTCTCAGGGTTTGTAAAAATGGAACACAGATATTAAACTTAGAGGAGTAGGGAGGTCATTCCCATACAATCAAAGAACAATATGGGTTGAACAAACAACCAGAGAAGAGTAATGAAGACAACAAGAGGCGAGAGAGATATTATTGATGCTAGTACTACAAACAGAGGTGGTAAAAGTGGAGTCTAGTCTTGGAGTGGGGGGAGCCAGAAAGGGGGGCCGTATCTACGAGGCTTAGACCCTTTGGGGATGTTAAAAGTGCGGAAGGTACGGGTGGGGAGATGGTAAGCGGTGACTCCAGGGTCTATGAAGTAGACAGAGTTTGGGTAAGGCCAGGGAAGGAGCTAGCATTGAGACAGAATGGCTCAGCCTTTGAAATGAAAATGCAGAGATCCCCGATATCCTAGGTGTAGCAAGCCTTGTTCCCCTCCTCGAGGCTGAAGACCATGAGACGGTAAGGAGTCTGGTTGACGGAGACCACTTCATCTGAGTCGTTCAATGCTCCCTTGCTCTGTCCGTAGCCACAAACAAACAAATGAACAAACAACATATTATTTAAGATGCGAATTAGTAGCACAAGAGAATAAAATAAGAGACCATGTATATATACATCTTTATGATGAAAGATTGGCCCGTGGATGACTCCACTAGGTGTTCGCTGGTCCTGAAGCAGGAGTCCAAGAGCTCCCACTCGGACTGTGGCAAGTGCGGGATGTTGCAAAAGTGGAGCTTGTGAAACTTAGGGGTGTGGTCACGGTTGATGAGATCCCATGCGCTGGTATAATGGGCTCCAAGAGTGGGCATATAGAAGCAATGATCCCTCTTGGAAACATGAGGCGGGAGTCGTAAATGCTGGAGTTTGGGACCATGATGTTGGTCCACTCCGAGTCAGAAGCAGGCCTACAGAAGCTGAGCTGGGGTCCCCAGAATTTAACGGCCACTACACAGTCGTCCTGCTCGGGAGAAGAGGACATGGACACACTAGTGACGATGGTTGTCTGGCTAGCTGGCAGAGGCACAAGGGGAGGCAGTGATATGATTGTTGGGGGAGACCCATCCGAGGGGAATGGCTTGAACTCGTCAATGAGTGTCACAGTAGCGTTGGCGTCGTTCACAGAAGTAATCCACCTGTGTGACGAACCGATCATTCGCATGTCGTTCAACATCACCATAGGATATATCTTGTCTCTAATGGTCACCACCTGGAGTATCTCCAACGATCTTACCTCCCATTGGCAAATAAGGGGTCCGCGACAGTGACAACGATGAGAACAACCGAATGCTTCGCGAAGCAGAGACATTGGAAAGCTTGTTCGAGATATCCAAAGAAGCCTAATTCCGATCCCTCAATTTGTACACTCACATGCCCTTGCCCACCAAGTTTCCTTTAATGCCATATATATGCTTCCATATCGGTGTCATTTTGCCCACAAGGAAACGCAACTAACGGCTACTTACCATAATCTTTTGTACAACAATTAAACTTAACAAAGAAACCTCGTTACATTTTCTCAACAACATTATACAATATTCGGTCCTTAGAAAACAGAAATATTATAAAATCAAAATATTAGACCGTTGTGATATATTTTACATGACACGTTGAAAGAGGAGTAACTTTCAACGATAAATAATAAATCAAACCAAACTTGACGTAAACAAATAAACAACGCGAGAGACTTTTCAAACTCGCCCCAAGAGATATCATCATTTCACGGCGTCAACGCTGATAACGGTGGGAGATTTACCTGAAGCAACGGGGACAGAAGCGTAGCGCATCGAGAAGCTTCTGGCTCCACCGAATCCAGCTTCGTCGTCGTCGTCTTTGTCTTCATCTTCGAAACTCAAAGTGTAACTCACAGGATCGTATCGGAATTTGTCGCTATCGTCCCAGTCTTGGCCGCGGCGTGGATCGCGGTTGAATCGCCGGATGAAAGTCTTCCACCGTGGCCCAGCCACAATCTCCGACCATTCTCGGATCTTCAGAAACGCTCGCACCCACCACCGTGACTCGTGGTGGTGGTTGCTTTGAATTCGCTGCCACCAGGAGGATTTAACGGTACTGTTGGAACAGCAAGACGATTCACCACCAAGAAGCGGATTCGCTTGTCCAACTTCCATTACAAAAGCTTGAAACAGAGTTAAGAGGGTTTTGAATTTTGATGTAATAGAAGCCAATACGAAACTGTTTTTTAGCTGTTATCAAACCATTGGCTGCATTTTTATATTTTAAACAATCATAGACAAAGTCATATATAAGTCACATAATATTAAAACATCTTGATAATGAATTTAGTTTTAAACATCTTGATCATGAATTTTAATACGAAACTATCCACTTTCAAATTTTTATATACCTAGACCACATCTTTTATATTAATTTCTAAAATTATGTTTAACACATATTACAACTTTTTGACCATCTATTAAGCAACGTAATTAGTCAAGAAATTGAATTACGATCATCATCTTCTGTTTTCGTTTAATTCTCTCTGTTTTTTGCCTCTATTGTTTCTTTGTATGGGTCTTTTAATCTTTATTGGTTCTGATAAATTTAGACGACAAATACAAAATCAACTAAACTAATGTTTTATATTTCTCAATAATTAACTCTTGTATCAACGAAATTTTTTTTTCATAGAGACACAGTCTTTCTCTCTCTCCTATCCTTAATTGTCTCCAACATCGTCTCATTCTTCCACTCCCACAAATCTCTCCCTTCCATAACTTCAAACACACGCAAACCCAAATGAGCAACCTCCACCTCTACACCTCCGCACGCTTCCGCAATTTCCCGACGACATTCTCCCTCCGTCACCACCACAACGACCCCAATAACCAACGCCGTCGATCTATCTTCTCCGAGCTCCGTGACAAAACCCTCGACCCTGGCGGTGACCTAATCACGAGATGGAACCACATTTTCCTCATCACATGCCTCCTCGCTCTCTTCCTCGATCCTCTCTACTTCTATCTCCCCATTGTCCAAGCCGGAACCGCATGTATGTCCATCGACGTCCGTTTTGGAATTTTCGTCACATTCTTCCGAAACCTAGCCGATCTCTCCTTCCTCATCCACATTCTCCTCAAATTCAAAACCGCTTTTGTCTCCAAATCCTCTAGAGTCTTTGGTCGCGGAGAGCTTGTCATGGACCGCCGTGAAATCGCTATCCGTTACCTCAAATCTGAGTTTGTCATCGACCTAGCCGCCACCCTTCCTCTTCCCCAGGTTCAATTCAATTTATTTTTATTTTTCTAGGGCTCCCATATGGAACATTTCGAAACCATTCTGCAATTTAACCGGTTACAAATCAAAGCCAAGAATTATTGATATTATGTTCTGTTCTTTAAATTGAAATCTCTCTATTTTTCTCAGATAATGATTTGGTTTGTTATACCAAATGCTGGAGAATTCAGATACGCAGCTCACCAGAACCACACACTTTCCTTGATCGTTCTTATACAATATGTGCCTCGCTTCCTCGTCATGCTTCCTCTCAATCGACGAATCATTAAAGCCACCGGAGTCGCAGCCAAAACAGCCTGGTCCGGTGCAGCCTACAATCTCGTCCTCTACTTACTTGTGAGCCACGTAAGTAAACTATTACTCTTTCTATACATGACTTAAAAATGTCTCTGTTTCACAACTTGGTTTCCCTTTTAGGTTCTAGGATCGGTTTGGTACGTTTTATCGATCCAGAGACAACACGAATGCTGGAGAAGAGAGTGTATTAAAGAGATGAATGCAACGCATTCACCCTCTTGTAGTCTCTTGTTTCTAGACTGTGGATCGTTGCAGGATCCAGGTAGACAAGCTTGGATGCGGATCACTCGGGTTCTGTCAAACTGTGATGCACGCAATGACGATGACCAACATTTTCAGTTTGGTATGTTCGGTGATGCGTTCACTAATGATGTCACTTCCTCTCCTTTCTTTGATAAATACTTCTACTGTCTTTGGTGGGGTCTCCGCAACCTCAGGTTGGTTGATATTCATGAGTCTTGAATCAAATTAAACCGCTGTTTTAGCGACTTGTTAACTGATTTCTTTTTATTGATTTGGTTTTGTGTAGTTCCTATGGACAGAGTCTTGCAGCGAGTACACTGAGTAGTGAGACTATATTCAGCTGTTTCATTTGTGTCGCGGGTCTCGTTTTCTTCTCTCATCTGATTGGAAATGTTCAGGTAAAGTTCATTAAAATTTCGGTCCCTCCATATTTTTTAATGGAGTCTAAGTGATTTCTCTGATTTTTGAAGAACTATCTGCAATCGACGACGGCTAGGTTAGACGAATGGAGAGTCAGAAGAAGAGACACAGAGGAATGGATGCGACATAGGCAATTGCCCGAAGAGTTACAAGAGCGTGTAAGGCGATTCGTCCAATACAAATGGCTAACGACTCGTGGAGTCGACGAAGAAGCCATTCTACGGGCTCTACCGTTGGATCTTCGTCGTCAGATCCAACGACATCTCTGTCTTGCCCTTGTTCGCCGTGTAAGCCACACCAGAATAACACCACATTTTGATTACTTTCAACTCAAGCAACAAACCCTAATTTTAGGTTCATTCGATTTTTCAGGTGCCGTTCTTTGCGCAGATGGATGACCAGCTCTTGGATGCGATATGTGAGCGTCTAGTTCCGTCATTGAACACAAAAGACACCTATGTTATACGCGAAGGCGATCCTGTAAACGAGATGCTTTTCATCATTAGAGGTCAGATGGAGAGTTCAACTACAGATGGTGGACGGTCAGGGTTCTTTAACTCCATCACGCTTAGACCAGGAGATTTCTGCGGTGAAGAGCTTTTAACCTGGGCTTTAGTGCCAAACATTAATCATAATCTCCCATTGTCTACGAGAACCGTGAGGACTCTCTCTGAAGTAGAAGCTTTCGCTCTCCGAGCAGAGGACTTGAAGTTCGTAGCTAACCAATTCAGACGTCTTCACAGCAAAAAACTCCAACATGCTTTCAGGTAATACTCGTATGGTCTCAAAAGCAATAAAGGTTTCTTGCTTCACACGCTATATGGTTTCTTGATCTTTATGTTTTGACTCTGATCAGATACTATTCGCATCAATGGAGAGCTTGGGGAACTTGTTTTATACAAGCTGCATGGAGACGATACATGAAGAGGAAGTTAGCAATGGAATTAGCTAGGCAAGAGGAAGAAGACGATTACTATTATGACGATGATGGAGACTATCAATATGAAGAGAACATGCCTGAAAGTAGTAACAACGGAGACGAGAACAGCAACAATAATCAGAATTTGAGTGCGACGATATTAGCATCTAAGTTCGCAGCTAATACTAAGAGAGGTGTTTTAGGGAACCAAAGAGGGTCTACAAGAATTGATCCTGATGATCCAACTTTGAAAATGCCTAAAATGTTTAAACCAGAGGATCCAGGATTCTTCTGATTTTGTTGTTCTTGTGACAAATGCATTAGGATTTTCAGACACTGACTTGATTTGCTGTAAGCAAAATTATTATTCAGGTATATATATATAGAAACATTATTACAGACTAAGCAATTGTGTCGGTCGATAATATGTCGATTTCTATCCAACGCATTATTGGCTCCTACAGCTTTTATTGGTATTGACTTCTCACGTGATAGTACTGGCCTAGTAGCCGTAGGTTCAACTAAAGTGGGCTTTGAAATTATAACTGTATAAGACTAATTAAGTACTGTCTTAACACATTTTAGGTGAATTTTAAAATAGTTATAGAGTGAATTTGGGAAGGGATCATATTTTGGTCAAAAATAATGAGAACGACATGTATAAGGCAAAATAAAAGGATATATAATCAATGACTCATTCCATTATGATTGGACGAAAATGATTTTTGATTACATACTTCACCTTATATTTTTCTTCTTCTATATGATTTTGTGCAAACCAAAAATGTGTAATCCCTCTCAATTTTTTGCTTGATTTTTTTTTTAATATATAAATTGATTAAAAACCACAGATTTGTTTTCATATATGCCATAATTTAATTTTTAAAAGAAAAATATGTAATATATATATATATATATATATCTAAACATAGAATGAAATCTGAAAAGAATATTTTAAAAAGGACGTAGAATAAAATCACTTTTTTTCTCAACTTTAATCATTTTTACAAACTTTAATCATTTCCAAACTTTAATCATTTTCTTGATTAGTAACCTTTTGAGCAGTAGAATTTTGCCACTGTAGTCAATAGTACCAATTAATTAAATCTTCTTATTAATAGCAGATGATTTTTTTCTTTATTTGAGGAAAGCTTTCATGGGACAACAACATCACAATCCACAAAGTAACCTATATTTACAAGAAAAGATGAAAAACATACCAAATAGATGACACAACTACCGCTTAGAAAACGACTTCAACCATAACCTACAACTTTTGCATTTATATATATATCTTCTTTATTTTCATTATAATTTTCCATATTTCCACATAAAAATGATATCCGCAATTAATTAATTATTATTTGTAGTTGGATCTAAAATGGAAGAAAGAATATTGAATCAATATGGATACACATACAAAAAAATCAGAGATCACGGCAAGACAGCTTTTTGTCTTATCTTTAATTTTTTTATTTGTCAACGTTGTTTGTTGTCTTACTATTTGTTCTCGAATCTCATTTGTCTAATAAGGAAAAAGAGAAACATTTCTTTATTTTCTTATGTACAATAAAAATCGCTTCTTTTGTCTTTGATATTAGAAAACGGACAAACCAGTCTAGTCAAATAAAGCCATTCAAAGTACGGCAACACAAACCAAGAGAGTGCAAGTTAAGCGACATGTGTTAGATATATCCGGAGATCTCAACCGTTGGATTCTTTCCTTCTCCTTCAAATCAAATAATAATATACCCATCACACAGAGAGAGAAGAAGAGGAGGAGATTCCGAAGAAAAAAGATAAGAACTTTGACGTTTTGAAGCTTGAAGCTTGTTACATCCATGGCGGCTCGTAGAGTGTCTTCTCTATTATCTCGATCTTTGTCAGCTTCCTCTCCCTTACTGTTTCGTTCTCAAGGTATCTTACTCAAACAAACAAATCACTGTTCGATCTCTCTGTTCAATCAGTGAATCTTCCAAAGTATCTCCATGTTTGAACTTTTTTAAAACTTATGCTGACTTCTACAAATTAATGTTATTTCCAGTGAAATAGACTGAAAATTAGATTCTTTGATTTGTGGGTCTATGTTGAATCTAGGTTATGATGTGTAAAGATGATAATTTTCAGGGAGAAGTTGTTACAATGGAGGGATCGTAAGGAGATTTGGAACCTCTTCTGCTGCTGAGGAAATCATTAACCCATCTGTTCAAGTTTCTCACACACAGCTCCTCATTAATGGGAACTTCGTTGACTCTGCTTCTGGTGATTAAAGTTTTCATTTTTATTTGTCCCCCATGTAGAGGAATTGGTAGAGAAAAGCAAAGTTTGAGTCTTGAGATTTGAGTTCCATGAGCATTAATAGTTGATATTTGGATTTGGGATTTTAGGTAAGACGTTTCCGACTCTTGATCCGCGGACAGGCGAAGTCATTGCGCATGTAGCTGAAGGCGATGCTGAAGATATCAATCGGGCGGTGAAAGCTGCAAGGAAGGCCTTTGATGAAGGACCTTGGCCTAAAATGAGTGCTTATGTATGTATATACATACTCTTCTTGAGTCTTAAATTTATGAACTTTAATGTGATATGGATGGTCTCATTATGTTTTATGATTTGGGTTTCAGGAAAGGTCAAGAGTAATGCTGAGGTTTGCAGATTTGGTTGAGAAACACAGCGAAGAGCTTGCGTCTCTAGAGACATGGGACAATGGCAAGCCTTACCAACAATCCAAGGCCGTAGAGATTCCAATGTTTGCAAGATTGTTCCGTTACTATGCTGGTATCATAAAACGAACTTAAATCTTGAGAATTCTGGTGAAATTTTCTTGCTTTTGGTATTGATTTCTGTGAATGAACATTCTTGGTTTTGCTTTGATGTGTAGGATGGGCGGATAAGATTCATGGACTAACAGTTCCAGCTGATGGAAACTATCATGTTCAAACATTGCATGAACCGATAGGTGTTGCTGGACAGATCATTCCATGGAATTTTCCGCTTTTGATGTTTGCTTGGAAAGTTGGTCCTGCTCTTGCTTGTGGTAACACCATTGTCCTCAAAACTGCTGAGCAAACACCTCTCACGGCTTTCTATGCCGGCAAGCTTTTGCTTGAAGTAAGATACATGCGATAGATTATTTTATCGTCTTCTCTAGGAGGAGAAAAACTTTTATGAGTAACAATGTCTCTTGTGAAATTTATGATAGGCGGGTCTTCCTCCTGGTGTTCTGAATATAGTTTCTGGATTCGGTGCAACAGCGGGTACTGCCCTCGCGAGTCACATGGATGTAGACAAGGTAGAGATATTTGTTTACTTGCTCTTAACTTCTTTAAGTAACTAAATCATCTTACATTGTTCTCTTTGCTTCAGCTTGCTTTTACAGGATCGACTGATACAGGCAAAGTTATACTTGGATTGGCTGCAAACAGCAATCTTAAGCCGGTAACTCTGGAACTTGGAGGGAAATCACCATTCATCGTATTCGAAGATGCTGATATTGATAAAGCTGTAGAGCTTGCACACTTTGCCCTCTTCTTCAACCAGGTATTGTCAATAGTAGCATATATACCTTGAGCTAAGCTGACTCATTTTCTTAGCTGGTTCTTGAGATAATGTTGAGTAATGTTTTTGTAGGGGCAATGTTGCTGTGCGGGGTCTCGGACATTTGTTCATGAGAAAGTGTATGATGAGTTTGTTGAGAAATCAAAGGCACGGGCATTGAAACGTGTGGTTGGTGATCCTTTCAGGAAAGGCATTGAACAGGGTCCTCAGGTAACACATACGCATTCTTTGTATTATAAAGCGTTTAGCTTTTCTACTTTGTTGATTGGTTTTGTGATTTCCGTTTCTTAAAAAACTTTGTATAGATTGATTCGAAGCAGTTTGAGAAAGTGATGAAGTACATAAGGTCAGGTATCGAAAGCAATGCTACTCTTGAATGTGGTGGTGATCAGATTGGAGACAAAGGTTACTTCATCCAACCTACTGTCTTCTCTAATGTTAAGGTAAAAAGAAAACTCTTCTAAGACGTCTTTAATGTTCTTCTATTATTGATTCTCCATGGCATTAATCTCGAACGCTTGGTCAAATACAGGATGACATGCTTATCGCTCAAGACGAGATTTTCGGTCCAGTCCAATCAATCTTGAAATTCAGGTAAAGAGCGCTTACCAATAAATGTGGAATTAGACTTACCACGTTACTCATGATGGGGGATGTAATTAGTAGATTAGTAGGTAAACCGAACTGAGAAAATTGATCCAATTTGGTTAAAATGGCTTTAGTTTTTAGATATTCTACACTTCTTTTTGAAGATTAATGATATATTCAATTAAAAGCTGAAACCATAGTAGATTTGGTTTAACCCTGGCTACTAGCTTTCTCTATTCGAAAAACCGAAACCGAAAATGTGATGATGCTTGTTGATGTTGGGTTCAGTGATGTGGATGAGGTGATAAAGAGGGCGAACGAGACGAGGTACGGGCTAGCCGCAGGGGTTTTCACAAAGAGTCTGGACACCGCAAACAGGGTTTCGAGGGCTTTGAAAGCTGGCACCATATGGGTTAACTGCTTCGACGTCTTTGACGCAGCCATTCCTTTCGGTGGTTACAAGATGAGCGGCAATGGGAGAGAGAAAGGCATATACAGTCTCAATAATTACTTGCAGATCAAGGCAGTCGTCACTGCTCTTAATAAGCCTGCCTGGATCTGATCCCTGGAGTTGGTTTCATCATCATAAATGCTCAAACAAAAGAAAGAGACTTTATAAAGTTACAATAGTAATAATTAAGGTCATGGTTTGTAACTTGAGTAACGGATTGTGATACTTTTATTTAATAAATGTGTATTCTAGTTCTCATTGTTCTTTTTCATATCACATAGCTGTTATTACACTGAGACTTGTGTTAATTTTGGTTTCGCACGATCGAAACTGAAAAAACACACGAAACTGAAAAATGCAACGAAATTTAGAAAACATATATTCTATCAAAGTAAGAGTGGTATGTATATTTTAAAAATTTTAAACTGAAAAATTAATTAAAACTTTTGAAATATCAATAAATTATATTTAAATTTAGTTGTTAATTATCTAAACTTGGTATAAAACAGCCATTAGATTCAATGTGCTAATACTAAAAAAAAATTCCAAGTATTAACAAAATTATCTATAAACAGTATCTTTCTAGAGTTAAAATATCAACACAAAATATTATTCCAAGTATGATAAAAATTACTTTTTCTTAAAAAGGTTCATTTGTCATATTTGGCATAGAATCTCAGATAAATATATTTTTCCTTTTGCAAATATTTATGCTAATTTTGAATATTTATTTATTATATTTCTTAATAAATTTCGATAAAGTTTTGGCACATTTATTTACATGAACCTAAAACTACAATTAGTAGTAGTATATAACAACAATTAAAATGACTGAAAAATGTTGAAAGCATCAAAATGACCAAATCGTGATTTTAACTTGTTCCTCAGCCAGAAGTTTTCCGTTTCTTTTCTTCATCGCAATTTTGCAGCTAGCTACTTTAGCCTCCAAATCCCTCCTTTTTCTCTCCTTTCTCACTCACAATCAGCTCACGATTTCGATAATCGATTCAACCATTTTGATCTCCAATCTTTCTTAGGGTTTCTCCTTCTTCTCTCTCTCTCTCGGATTTTAGCTCTTCTCGATTATTACTCACCTCTCTCATGGCGATGAGAGGTGTTGATTTCAAGTGGTGAGCTCTCTCTCTTCAATCTTCTTTCACTTGGGTCGATCTAAAGGAGACGGATTTCGAATTTGGATTATCGATTCCCATTTTTCGAGTTTTCTGATTTTGTAAATTGTGCAGGTACGATGGGTTCTTCTTGTCGATGCTTGCGACTAGTGTGTATCCTTATCTATCTCTATGCTACTTGGATTCTGTCAAATTTGTTTTTTTTTTTCGGTTATAACTTTTTTGTTCTTGCTTGGATCGAGCTGATAATTCTCAGTCTCGGAGATGATTCTTCCACTTTTCGATATTTGATGATCGAGATACAGTTAGGTATTACTGGTTAATCAGATGAAAAAGTTGATTTCTTTTGTTCTCTTGAAGATCCGATTTTATTAGTTTTGGTTCTTGTGGGATAGGTGAACTTAGTCGGAATCTTGTACTGGATTTTGTTTTATTAGGGTTTAAGGTGATCTAGATAACCTCTCCATTTCGTTTCCTTAATGGGTTTTTAGAATCATTGTTGCTGTCAACTGGAACAGATATCGAGCGTGTGAATACCCGTTGCATATATGGATTGTGGTAGGTGCCTCACTTCAATATTTTTGTTGCTCTTGCTTATTATCAGCTTCAGTTTCTTTTGTGTTCGTTTTCTCGGAATCTTTAAACTTTTGTTGTGTTGCTCACAGTTTGTTTGTCTCTATGACTTCAGGTCGATTACACCACCGTGTTTATATTCCGCGTCTTCATGTTTGTTGACAATGGTCTTGCTGCTGGACTTGGCTTGTAAGTTCCATCTAAATCTCCCTAGTCCTAGATTTACAGTGAATTTGTAGGTTTTTACTTTTTGGAATCTTCTCCCGTTTCCCAGAATTGTTATCTGAAGGATAAAGTTTTGCGTAATAATTCTTTGCTATCCTTATTCTTTAGATAGGCATGTAATTCATTGAGAAGGATTAGATTATATGCTAATTGAGAAGCATAGAATTTCTTTGTAGCTCCAGTCGAATAGGCTCTTCGAGTTGCAAGCTTGATCTTAGAAGTAGCTAGTTGCAACGTTTCTCTATCTCTCTAGGTAGCAATGTTATATGAATATCTGGTTATTTATGTCACATTGATTTCTGGTGTGAACATCTGTTAGGGATTTTGGAAGTCAACAGCGGAATGCCATGTTTTGTGGGAGAGTGGTTGTCCTCTCTGTCCTATCTCTGCTACTGTATCCATTTCTGTGGGCTTGGACTGTAATTGGTACACAATGGTTTACAAGGGCGAAAACTTGTGTAAGTGGTTTTTACGATCATGGCATATGATTATTCTTGTTGGAAATCTGTTGCTGAGTTAGTATGTATTCTCTTGCGATAGTTACCTGAAGAAGGCCAGAAATGGGGTTTTCTCATTTGGTTGATGTTCAGCTACTGTGGCCTCCTCTGCATTGCTTTCATCTGTGTCGGAAAGGTAGATTTATATCAAGCTATTTTTTTATGGTTTAAAGAGGGCACCCCACTTAACGGAGTTTACTTGATAGTGGTTGACACGAAGACAGGTACACTTATTACGTGCTCAGCAGGGAATTCCGATTTCAGAGTTCGGGGTAAGTTCCAGGATCCGATTATTCATCTTCAAGTCCTTTCCACAAGGAGATAATTTTCGGAGTTTGTCATTATGATTTTTGTTTCTCTGACACCTCTGAGTAAATTTTCAATGTCTGTTTCTTGTGCCCAGATTTTAGTTGACATGATTAGGGTACCTGACTGGGCATTCGAAGCCGCTGGCCAAGAGATGAGAGGCATAAGTCAAGATGCTGCTACATATCATCCTGGACTTTACTTGACTCCAGCCCAGGCAAGTCTGGTCATTTATTCTCATCACGCTAAGCATTGAGTAACTTTTCTTAAATAAATATGCCTCGAAGCTACTCTACCCATGGTTTCAATCCCTCTCATCCAGGGAAGCAAATACTCAACAAATGTGTTTTCAGTATATGATGGAAATATTCTGTAGAGAGGTAGAAATCTTCTTTGTTAATGATGTCGAAGAAGATATCATTGGCAGGATGTGATTATGTCCAAATTTATATTTATCATATCTCTGTCTCATGATTCCAAAACATTTAATGTTTGATGCTTAATGCTTTGATAAACAGACAGAAGCTGTCGAGGCACTCATTCAAGAACTTCCAAAGTTCAGGTTAAAAGCTGTGCCAGATGACTGTGGTGAATGCTTAATCTGCTTAGAGGAGTTCCATATTGGCCATGAGGTACTAAACATCACTAGCTTTGTTTCGATGTTGTGCTTGCGTGCTTTTCTCGTCTCAATGCTTTCGTTAGATGAGCGGAATTTGTCTGAATTTAACAGGTTAGAGGTTTACCTTGCGCCCATAATTTCCATGTGGAGTGCATAGACCAGTGGCTGCGTTTAAACGTGAAATGTCCCCGTTGCCGGTGCTCGGTTTTCCCAGACCTCGATCTCAGTGCATTATCCAACCTCCAGAGCTCAGGAATAGAACAACCTTCACAAGTAAACACAGGAACAACAGAAGCACGGTACATAAGAAGCCAACCTCAGAGCGAGAGCTACTTCTTGAGAGTTCAATCCTTAATTCACCCAGTCCACACAGACACTGCTCTGGAGACTGCAGAGAACGGTGGAGTTCCTCCTGTCTTGACCAATCTATCTCCATCTCGGAGATGAGAGAAAGAAATGAGCCTATGGAAATTTTACTCAATACTAACTCTCGACTGATTTGCCTGCCTACCCACCCTCTCTCATAAAAAGTTGAACATTCTTAAAATGTAAATAAACTGGGGTTAAAAGAAGAGAGAAACCAATCCTGGGTTTACATTTGTTAAGAATGGAGAATTGTTGATCATGTCCAAACTCTTCAATATTAAGGAAATTTTTACTTTAGTTCTGGTTTCCAAGTAAAAAAAAAATACCAATTTTTCTATCTTATATACCCAAATTATATTAATAAAATTCACTGATGTCATCAACATATGTATATTTTACCTTCGAATTTATTTTGGAATTAGTTTATAATTTTTATTTGTTACTCTAAATATCACTTTTGGCTTAATCTTTTTTTTTATAACTAAGAGGTTCTGGGCCTAGATTCGGACATCTTCTCAGATTAGAAATCTTATCATTTTATATAATTTTTTCCCAAATGTCATTCGAACCGATGACCGCTAAATTTTGCCTAAAAATCTTTACCAGTTGAGCTATTGACACTTGGTTCATAATCCTTTTATTAAACGATCGAACAACTTTTTTATGCACCAAAACTTTCGTGACGATGGAGATCTCAAGGGTTTGTTGGTTTTGTTTTCCGCTTTATACAACTTTTCTTTTTCTGCATAGTTAGCTTTATTTATCGAAGGACTTTGGAGCTATTTGTTTTAAATATTAGAGTTTTCATAGTAACTGAAACAAACTTTTATTTATTTAGGTAACTAAGTGACACAATCGTTATCAAAAAGCAGTCAAGATTTTAGTATATATCTATTGATCAATATATCTTTCACACTTTACACAATTATATTGCTCGTTAAATAGCACGGTAGAACATCATGAGTCATGACTAAACTATATGCTATTATATTATGAATGTAATTTTTAAAAGAAACTAGAAACATTAAACGTTTATATGAATAAATAACATGCTAGTTTTTTCTAAGACTCTATTACATAAATAAATATCATTTCATATAACAAAACTATATTTTTTGTGCTCAAAACCTATGCAAAAAAAAATATATTGAAAGGAAATTCAAATACTCTAAATAAAACCTACCGTGAGTTTCTAATTTAAACATCAGGAGATTGTTCACTGTTACATAAACAAGATTTTCCATTGGAAACATAACTTTTATTATTACTATTTCTTATAACTAAGAAATAATATACATTCTACCATGTGCACAATATATATATATGCATGATAATACATTGGTACACGCGTTATATTCTTTCAGTAATTTAATTTAGCCAAACTTAAAGACCAAAAAAAGGAAAAGAAAAAATAGATAAATAGATTACAGGTTTCATAGAAACGTTTATATATTTGTATATATATTCATTTATATACGGCTACGTACGAAATACGTCGACCATCTAAAGTAAACGTCTAAACATGAATCAAAAATCTTCACAGGATCTCCTCCACTCAATATGTCTTTTGTATACATATATATAAACACGTATCTCTTTTCCATTAGTCAAAATTTGAAGTTTTCCTTCAAGTAACACACGATCTCTTGCTGCAAAATAAATACAAACATCTAATCAAGCAAATGGTTTTAAAAGCAGAAAAAGGTAAGCAAAAACTTTGAAAGCAGAAGGTAACTTACGAGGAAGCAGAGAAGGATACAAGCGGCTGCACCGGGGAATAATGTGTACCAAAAGTTCAGTTTATGCAACTTTGCTCCGTCTATGAACAGTAGTGGTAAACTCGCCGCTGTTGTGTTTTTCCAAAAACATATATATGCAAACATCAATCAACTATTTTCCTCCCTTACAAACGAGTATATATTTCAAAAAACAATTCCTAGGATATAGTAGGATGATTAAATATGCTCAATATTTTAGTAATGAAATTTTTAAATTTCCATACAAAAAAAGGAGAGTAGAATTGAATTACCAGGCGGATGGTTGGCACGAGTGATGACCATGAAGGCGATGGAAGCGGCGAGAGCCGTACTCCGGGCAAGCCAGCCTGGCCCAAAGACGGAGAATGCCAACACTCCAATGGCTGCACAACCTATTTGAGCCGTGAACATATTGTATTTCTGAAATAAATACACATGCACCCATCACCATGTTGTTAGCATTTTAAGGCTTCATTTCTCGCAATTAACATTTCAATCGCAAGTTAGAAAAAGCGTTTAGGAAATTACCCGAGCAGCAGGAGAAGAAGGAGTGGTGAAGAGAATGGCAGAGACGGCACCAAGTGGTGCAACCGACATTGAGATCCCTTTAGGGTTTAGTATTTGATCTATTCTTCCCAGTATCGCCATCGCCGCAAAGGCTCCTTTTCTCATACCCAAAATTGAAAAATTAATATTTGGTTTGACTAATTCTGTTAGAGATTGAAGTTTAATAAAACAAGTGATTCGATTATTTTGCATGATGTTCGAAAATTTTGATAACATGACTAAGTTAATTGACATATTTCTAACCAAATATAAATTGATCATAATTTATTTATATAACATAGATCGACGACGACTATTTTCGAAAATGTATATAATCTTATGAAGTTTATAAAGAATTTCCTTACACTCGACATGTAAAGATTATGCGAATTAATTAATAAATAAATATTAGTAATCATGTTTCTTACTAAATTCAAGAATTGGTCAACCTCGAACAGTTAGATTCATATCCTAGGCCCCTAAGATAAGTAGCTATTTGGTCGTTAGAAGAGACACAATCTCTCTCTCTTCCCTAGTCTTCGGACAAAGAAAATTGCCGTCTACTGACTTTTATAATATGTTTTCTCATTTATATGTTATTATTTTTATATCTCTTCTCCTTAATGTTTTATTTTTTTCGAATCTCATATGGGATTCGTAGTTTGCTTGATATGAAACGAGTTTCATAAACTTAGAATCCAAATCAAGAAAATTAAATTAATATCAACGTATAAGACTATATATATGTTAACAAAAAATGAGCATATCATCATTTCAGTGCACAGATTAGTGTAGGATTCATTTTTTAACTACTAATTACCTGCTGCAGGCCAGATGACGTCACTCAGCGACGGAACCACCGTGGTCTTTTCGGGCTTCCAAGATTCCCAAGAAACCGCCGGAAAATCATCAGAGGAAGCCACCGGCATAGACACGCCGGCGCTTTTGCTTACTGGCCGACGATTGCTCGACGACTTAAGGCTTCTCATATGCCTCACAGATTCATCATTAGAAGAGACTCCTAAGAAATGATGCCTTTTGAAACCAACGGTTACCATTGAAGGCGGAATAATAAGATTCCGGCGATGAAGCTGTAAGTGGCCGGAAGGTAGAGGCTTCACCGGAAGCGAAGCCATGGTTGTTGGGAGGGTTTTGATGTAAATATCTCAACAAAGACAGAAATATGTTCCCTTCTTTTCTTTTCTAATTAGGGATGACAAAGAGAGAAAGAGAGAAGTGGACAATGATATAATCATATAACAAAACACTGAGATTTAATTTGTGTTAATACATATATTAATTTGTGTTAATACATATATTATATGGTGTGACTATGTCTGAGTTCACACCAGTTAAAATGAATGATATACAAGTCATATAAATCATAAAATTAAAGGTTTCTTGACACTATTAAGGGAATGCTACCGTTTATGGAATGGAACTAGAATAATTTTTCTTTAGTAATTTAATTATATAGTTTTTGATATTGTTGACCATAAAAATAAGAATAGTGCAAGCAGTTTACACTTTATTTAACAATCTTATATTGGTTAAATAAAACATATACAGAACTTATTTACTTTACAGTACTGTTCTAACTATCAAAATTAATTATCGATTTTCATTGAATTAATAGTAAGTTGAAATTTAAGTTTTTGCTTGAAAACCAATTTCAAAAGAAATCAGAATACTTGGTTTTACACATACATAACCTTTATCTAGTTATGTTTGTTGTTCGACATACAAGTTACGCTATTTTGTCAACAATTTTCACAACTCTCTTCAAAAACCACTAAAATGCCGACTTTAATTCTTTTTTCCGCCAAACCATTATTATTTAACTGATTAAGAACAAGGACCTACATGTATTATAGTAGTAATTAATAGAGGAATGACTTTATATATAAAATGATAGATGCAAGTGGATATGCCAAAAAAAAAAGCAGTGGCTTTATAAGAGGGGGATGGGGTTCAAAGGTGAGTCTGTTTGATCAGTCGAAAGGTCATTGAATAACAAGAGTGGCTTCATATAATACTTAGTTTATTTCTACTCATTGTTATTTTAATTACGTATACTAGAGATTTGTATTTGTATTTCTGTTATGTATATTGAAGTTGTCGCCTTCACATGCATACACATGTTCCATGTTTCTAATCGTGAACACCAATCATAAATTATAACAATTGAACATATATATATTAATTAGGTAATATAAATACGTTTTAAAATAACCCAAAATTTGTGTCCTCTCCCAAAGAGGAACGAATCTTCTATTAGTGGTTAAAAAGGTCAATCAACTGATTGATTCTTACTCATTATAACTTCTTATAAAGTAATTCACTTTCGTAGAGACCAAAAGAAGAACAAAATTTATGATAAGATTAGTAATTTAGTAAGTACTTATTTGGAGAAAGCAGACAAGCCCAAGTCTTTGGGTTTGTACTCTGTACCTTTAAACCTATACGGCTATATCAATCACATAGAAAAACATATAAAGGGAAACAAAACTAAGTTCTTAAGATACTGATTTTTAAGCCCAAAGATTCTGCTACAAAGCCCAGTTATATTTTTAAGCCCAAAGATTCTTAAGATACTGATTTTTTTTCTGTGATTTTGAAGAAGGATACTTTATTCTATTTTTTTTTTTTTTTTGTCATCCGAAATTAATTAAAACTCAAAAGAGCTATTCATGAGGAATGTTGTTTACATACGTGATATGAAGCGGTTACATACGTGATACTTTATTCTACTTTATATTCTACTTTCTAGCTTTTTTAGTAAAAATATATTTATTCTCATTTTCTTTTGACTGGTGAGAATACAGATGAATTCAGAAGAAAAAAAAATCTAAAAACGCCTACCTACCAGTCACTCGACTCACTCCCAACATGTACGTGAGACTTGGTACTAACAATTAACAGCCAGTTAATTTTCTTTTATTTGAATAATCGATTTTATTTTAAATCTATTCATTAGACCCGTTTCGTTTCTTTTCAAGGTTGATCTAAATATCTATCGTTACGGTTGGGCAATATACTTTAAAAAAAATTGGGAGGTGTTACGTTTAGTTGCTGTAGGCGTTGAACGAAAAAAAGTAATTACACATTTTATCTATTTAATTTTGGGCCTTTGAAAGTGCTTACATGTGAAAGTTTTATCACATATTTTAAAAATATTCCTGTCATGATCTCCACAAGCTCTTAACAGAAATACCATTATAAATAGTTGATCTGTATTGCCACTTTTGACAATATATAATAATATAATTAATCTAATGGAAATTGTACTGTTTCAAATTCTAAGTTCCTGAGTATAGAGAATATGTAGACAAGCCTACATCGAGCAAGTTGACATTGAGAAATTGTGGTGATTCATTGTGGGATGTCCCCAATATGTTGAAATCTAATAATATACATATCGCATTTGGGAAATTGCCATTGGATACATATATATATATTAAAACTTCTATGATCTAATGTTGTTTAGACCCTAGTACAGTATTTAACTATTCATTATTTTAAACGGCTAACGATATTATTTGGGTCAATACTCAGTAATTATCACTTTGATGAAAATGGCGGCACCATAATTTTGTCTTCCAGTATATTGGGCCAAACCCAAAACTACAATCAAAGTAATCTTCCCATTAATATATATAACAAAGCGTCAAAGCTGCAACCAGAATTAAAATACATAAAAATGTGTATATATATATATATATATACATACAAAACTTTTCGTGTTAAAAACTGAAAATTAAACACGTAAATAACAAAAGAAAAGTCAAACGTTGACTTGAGGAGTGCTCGAACCGTCCACTAATTAATCTAGTCGGGTGTGAACAATAAAATATGGCTCAACCACCTCGTCCGCCCAAAAATTATACCATTTGCAGCACTAAAACATATAAACTGTAGCACATATCTAGTGGTTGAGACTTACCGATCAGATCCTTTATATGTCCACTTATTTACTTAGGTCTTCGTCGACATATATTCGAAGAAGCTTAAGTTACATGCGTCGACGTCGAAACTTCCGATAAATTTTTAGCAAAAAAAAAAAAAAAAAAAAAAAAAAACTTCCGATAAATAATATTTGCTTTGATAACACATTTTGAACATGTTTCACGTGAAGCAATAGAGATTTAAGTATTGTCTTTAATATAGTATACAATTTAAACTTGTAGTGCATGCCTGCGTATTGATTTTACAACACATCTGTAATGCGTAAATAGTGATGATTTCTTTTTTTTTTTGATAAAGAATAGTGATGATTTCTTTCCACATTTATAATGCGTACCTTTCGAAGAAACTTAAAATAAAATAGTGATAAAAGCTAAAAAAGCTTTTTGCAAAAATATTGATTAAAATTGTATGGTAAAATGTGCTTGTTGAATGATTTCGACGACATAATTATTCCAATAATACTTTGGCACTATTCGCGAAAATTAAAATGTTGATTATAACTTGATGGTAAAAATGTGGGTGTTGTATGATTGAAACGACATTGTCGATAACAGTTTGTTACTATTCGCAATAATAAAAAAAAAATCGTAAAACAGAATTGGACAAACAATCACTGAATATATTATTGAAAAACAATTTTTGGACAAATTCACCAACATGGGAGATTGATATAAATCTATACCTATATAAAATATATTTACAAAATATTTTTATACTAACTTTAAATTTTATTGGTGATAGTACTATTTTATTTATTTTTTATTTTTCGTTTGAGTTTCTCCTCAGCCTGTTCCATTTTTTTTTTCATTTATCACCTTTCTATCCTACTTCATTCTATTCGTCTGCACCACTTTTTTTACTGCAAATATTCACATTATATATTGATTTGTCGTCTGAAAGTATTATGCTGTTTTCAAGATAAAAGGAGAATTTTGTGTTCTTGTGATTTAATAAGGGCTGCGGCCCTTGTTATGCTTAATAATTTTTTCGGCCCTCAAAACAATAAGATTGTCTTTAGCCTAGTGGTTTTGTTTGGTATCCTTTGACCCTGTGTTCGCGTGTTCGAGTCTCTGGTTTGCGTTATGTATTCCTTTTTTTGGTTTTTTGATCTTTAAAGAGTAGTTGGTTGATCTTTCGTTGTTTTAAAACAATATTTTGTAAGACATTTTTTGCTTAAGTTTCTTTACAATTATGCATTTTTTAGAGCGGCCCTTTTTTTTTCCTCGCATGTGGCCCTCAAAATCGTTGCTACGGCTCTGGTCATAGGAATGTAAATCTCCATATATTGCTTGATCTCATTTATAAGTTGAGTTAGTTGATTGACGTTATGTTCAAATAAAAACGTGAGAATTATAAGAACGTATAATTGTTATACGCGGAGAGTGCATGTAGCACTTGCCGGCCCAATAATTAAAAAGGCAACTTGTTTTTTGTTTGCTACACGACCTCGTAGGGTGTTTAGCTATATATATTAATTTATACATACAAAAGCGATATTGATGAAATCGAATGGCTCATATTCATAATGTGAACATGTATAGTCAATTATATATGTAAACAATATATAAGTCCAAGTGTTGGACCAAAAATGTAGTGTCGTAGTCCAATTCAACAATGAAAACTAAACCGCCAAAAACACACAATCATCCAATATAACGAATAGACACGTGGTTAACACTTTAGCTTAAGAGATTGGACATAAAACATACAGTTCCATTCCATTAAGATTTTCTACAGAAATTGAAATCCAAGTTATATCTGTGTTGAAAATGGTAATATAATAAAATTCTCTTCAATCCACTGATTTCTTCTGGCTTGCCGGTCCAACTCATAAAATATAAAAATAGGCATGTTAAAAAGTGGCCTACGCTTTTATATGATTGACAAGGATTGGCATATCGCATATATATAGTTTAGTTTTGGTTCGGTTCAATTTTGGTTAGTGCATCCACTATCTATCGTCCAGTCGTCCACTACATATCCACACACTATCCAGTAGCCAATGATTGACCGCGTGAATTAGACTAAAAGGTTCAAACCCGTGACGTGGATAGTTAGCATGAGAAGGTTGACTTTTGTAGTGTTTGTTGCTTTCTACAATTTGATCAAGTCACTAATTTCGAAATAAACCGCGTCAAACCCCAAAAAGTAGGAAGTATATGGACATACATCATCATCATCATAATCATC